TACTAACTATACACATATTCTCTTTTTTTTTTTGCTCTTTCCATTTTTAATCTAATCAAACAATAAATAATCTATCAAGATAATTTTTGAAATAGATATTCTAAAATTAGAAAGAAAGTGTGAAAAAGATAGTCTATTTAAACAAGTGACTTTTTTTTGTAACATGCTCCAAAAATAGAATTGAAGCCAGACGATAAAAATCGATTTCAAAATAGCCTAAATTGTTGTCAAGAGAGAAGGGGGGCAAAAGAAGGGGAAAGAAGTAGTAGAAGAAGAAAGAAAAAGATGAAGGGAATTTGAAAAAGAAAGCTACTGAAAAAAAAGAAGTGAATGTTTGAAGACAAAGTTAGTCCTCTAACTCTATACACGGCTTTCTGTAAAAGTCACAAGGCATTCTTTTCTGGACCTTGACCAAACGAATTACGAGAAAAGAATCTATCTCTCTTTCTTTTCCTTTCTGCATTGTTACTAACCACCGTAATCGAAAACGTTTTCTACGCCTCTGACGGCAATCCCAGGCACAACACATGTGCACCAATATACACCAGCGGACCTGTATGCCTGAAACTGGCCCGACAGGCACAAAAGGCAGCCAAGCCAAGCCTGGGGGCCAGAGACCTCAATCGCACTATCGAGAAGTCTGAGCACACACGAAAAGCAAAAGAAACCCTGGGAAAGCACAAGAGTAGGGATTCAAATTTCACGAATCACTCATGCTCCCAACTGTATACTTTTAGTTTTCATTTTATATCGACTTCACAACTTCAGATCACTGCTATTTATGCGTCTTACCCGAAACTATCCATCAATCAATTCGGACACAAAGAAATTTGGTATTTTCTACTGTAACAGTTCCACTAACATGGTTATTTCTATGCTAACAATTCTACTAACAACGTTATTGTTTCTCTACTAACAACGTTGTTGTTTCTCTGCTAAAAATTCTACTAACAACATGGTTATTTCGAAGGGTTTTCGATTAAGATTCTGTAAGATTTATTTAAACATTGTTTGATAGAATTTTACAAATTCATGCAGAACTTGGTTCACTTGATTCAGAACTTGATGTTCTAGTTGTTCAGAACTCTCAAAGTGCAGTAGTGAAGATTAACATCTTCACTACTGAACTTTTAGAGTTCCGAACAACGAGAACATTAAAGTTTTGTTGAAATAGAATATGAACATTGCGACGAAATTTATTTACTAGTGACTAATTCAACATGAAATCAATTTCAGATTTAAAATTCACGTATTTTTACCCTGATGATTACATCCCTTTATATGAAACTGAAATGAAAAAGGAAAGTCTGGGATTGAATTGTAAAAAGGGATTTCCTTCCAGGTGGATTGATCGAAGAAAGAAGAGACCCCTGGCTCCTTTTTTAAAGATGGAAAAAAGGGAGAGAAGAATCCCAGGAGTGTACGGGAATAGCCTACCACCCATTGCAGATTGTCGTTGTTCCACTTTGCCAACGTTTGATTTCTCAGAGATATTCTACAATTCTACCTACTTTATTTCCTCCTTCACTTCCACCTACTCCATTGGTATGTTATATTCAACCACCACTACTACTAACTTCTTCATCATCATAGCATTTTCTCGCTAAAAAGTAATGGAAGATTCATTTGAGACGGTCCTCTCTCGTGACGCCTACAAAATTTAAGTCATCCTACACATTCAAAGTCGAAAATGCACCGCGATTCCTACCCACGTCGTTTCTCGACCGAAGGACAAAGCCAAAGTATTCGTGCTGCTGATAAAGTTCACGTCCGAGAGGAAGTTACACACGTGCATGTGAAACGCAAGCAGAAACGAATTGTGGGAGCGCCTCAGGGCCGAACATAATTTTTCGGCTTTGAAAAACATTTTTAGATTTTTACCGCATCGAATTAGGTACTTCATCGAATTTTAGAAAGAAAAAAGGTTCTTCTAAAGACGATTAGCAAGTAGATCAACAAAGTTCGAACCTACTTAACAATTCGTTAAAAATTCAACATACCCCAAATTTTTCGACCCTAACTTGAAAAACATTCGTCTATTATGATAAACAAAATTCATAAATTTAAAAAAACCACCCAAAAAATTAGAAAAGACTACTTCTTTCCCTCTCTCTCTCTTTCTTTGAAGAGGATGAAGTAAATTTTTTCACTTATGAATAAATGTTTCTCAAGCAATTAAAGCGAGCACAATCAGAGTAGACGGGGAGACATCAACTTTACGTAACCTGCATTTTTCTCCTTGCAACCAACGATAACACTATATTCGTAAAAGAGAAGCGAGAGTGCTTAGCCTAACTTGAAAGTGAAGTGTCTCATCCCAAAAACGAAACCCGCTTTCCATTTGTCTCACGATTCTTACTAAACTTTCAATTGTCTTTAATTTCACCTTTCAAAGAAATTACGATTTTTTGTTGTTGTTGTTGTTATTTTGTTTGCCTAATATTAAAATGCATTTCATTTATACTCATAATCGTCAATGCTAATAACAATAATAATTATTAAACCGTGATTAAACTAGAATTGAAATAATAATAATTAAACACACTATCTTCACCGCCCCTTTCATGTCTTACACAATTTTTTCGAACAGCTACTACTTACTAAACATTATGAAAGTCACGTTAAGAAAGAATCGGACAAACAATCGGAATATAATACAGTCGACTTTATTTTTCCATTTATTTTATAAGACGAAAACTTATTTTTTATTCAAAAAAGAAAAATATTACTTTCTTTAGAAAACAAGCATTTATATTTTAAAAACTGCAAGTGCAAACAATTTAAAAAAAAATTAAATTAAATTTGCGTTCTAAATAATTGTATAAAAAATAAATTTCTTTCTTAAAGACAATAAATTTTCGACTATGACGTCATTTCTAATTTCAAAATTTTAAAAAATGCCTAATATTGAATTAGAAAAAAAATTTTCGAACAATTGGGAAAGTCGATTTTGAAGATATAGAAGACAAAGAAGATACGGATTCGCGTTGCCACATATATGTCGACGAACCAGGAATAATTCTGTCGTGCTGTTACACGAGTATGGTATCGATATCACAGGTAGTTCATGCCCCCCCCCCCCTTTCCACCCCCCATACATACAGTGGCGTAGCCAGTGGCTAACGGGCCTTTTTCCAATATAACGTTTAAATAAAACACTCAAAAGAAATTATTTATTTCCCGATTTATAATTTCTCCAATTCGAATTAATTTAAATAATATTTTCACGAATTTATAAAAATATAATAACTTTATAATAGAATGAAAATAATAAAAAAATCTATGAATTAAAAGTCTATTTAAATTTTTTTCTTTATAAATAATAATTTAAATAAAAAAAATATGTTTTTTGTTGATGACCGTTGAATAATTTGTTTAAAAATGAAAATCATAAATAATAATAAATAATAATAAAATAATTAATAATAATAAAAATAATAAATAATATAATACATAATAATAAAAATAATATAATAGAAAAATAAATTTAAAACTATAAAAAAAAGGTTTGGTTGAAAAATTCTGAGAAAATTAAAAAAATAATGCAATAATAATAATAAAAATCTATAAATTATTTAGGTAATAATTAAAGAATAATAATAATTGCAAAGGTAAATATAATAACGATTGAAATAATCAGGAAAAAGTTGATAGTAGATAGTAAAACAAAGTATATACTAGTTACTATTCACTTTACTACTTAAAAAGAAAATCAATTGTCAATTGAAATATTAAAAGGAAAGAAAAAAATTAAAAAATAAAATAAAAAAATTTAAATGAAAGTAAAAATTAATTAAATTACATAAAAGTGAATAATAAAAATAATAAATGTTCGAATAAAGGGGAATAGAAGATTGAAATTGAAAATAAATAGGAAAATCCAAGGAAAATAAAAAAACTTTAATAAAAGAGCTAATCAAATCTATTAAACAAAAACACTTTATAGCTAAAGGCATGTGAAATCATGACATCATCCCGTTCATGTAATTATAAACTCACTATTTAATTTTTTGAGCTGAGCTATTAAATTGAATTTTTGATAATTAATATCCTTTTTATATTTTGAATCCTAATTTAAATTGAGAGAAAAATTATATGTACACAACTATTGTTTTCATCATTTTATATTTTAGAAACAATTTTTTCTTTGTAGAAGAATAAATGGAGTATATAAATATTCTGACAAATCTGCTCTTATCTCTGAAAAATCCAACGAAATGTCTTTCTAATCACGCAATAATGTCTTTATAATGTACATTGTACAATGACACAAAAATTTAGTTACGCAGTGTAGAGAATTTTTAATGAACCGACAAAATATTCATAATGCGTCACATGCCCTTAAATTTTTGTAAATTACAAACAATGGATCCAAATAAGATTAAAAGCAAAGCATTTTTGAAGAGTCAATGCCAATCTAACTAATCTAAAGTATGATAAATTTGAATAACAGACGGTATGTAAACTAGACTTATTTATTCAATTGTTAAGTTTTGTTCTTTGAGAAAACGATTTCGTTTCCATGAATTTGTGAATCTTTGTAAATTGAGGGGATACGATTCACTGGAATTGGCCATTTAAACAAAGAAGAAGAAGAAGAAGAACGAGGAGGAGAAGAAGAAGAAGGAACAGCAGACTTCGACTTATCGAACCTAGACAACATTAAAATCCTTGAGATCCCCCCCTTGCCCCTGATAAAAAAAAGATAATCACCTCTTGTGGTTCTTTCGCAATATTCTGAAAACGAACCTTAGACCCATCCTCCTGTATCCTTTTAGAAAAAGGAAGGGGATCTCTCTCCATCTCCAGGCGTGACGTCTGGTCGCCCGCACCGTTGCTTGGCCCAGGCGACACACACCATCATCACCTTCTTGATTGCTCTCTCTTTTCGCAAACACACGCACCCTTTTCCCCCGGAGTAGTTCTTGCTCTCGGGCGCAGCCGAGCGATCATATAGAGACAAAGATAGAAAAAGAAAAAGAAGAAAAAAAAGAACTCACCTCTCTCGATGTAGTAAACAAATCCGTTCCTTGGCGACCTTGAGCCTCTTTGAAATGATCTTCTTTAAATTCTCAATTGTTTCATTACGATCGACAGTCAAATCAAATTGTCCACCTGTCGTTGGCGTGATACTGATTGTAATTTCGGGATCGGTAACTGGAGAAACGACGCAGCCACACCCCGGCGATGACGGGGTTGCGGTAGGCAACGCTCCACCGCGTCCACCGGCTGACGACGATGATGTTGTACGAAAATCAGAATTGGTCATGCTTGCCAATGGCGAAGACGAAAATGAGGAGGACGTCGGGGATGTCTCGGCCTCTTCATCAGCGGCGCTGCTACTGCTCCGCCCGGGATTATTGTCTCCCATTGCCGTCACGTCCGACGGCGACTTTCAATTAAAGCCCTGGGTTCCTTTTCTCAACTCGAACTTTGCACTCGACAAAAAAACAGTGTACACGAGACGCGCCCGCACCTGCACCTGTTCCACCTCAGCCAGAGCGACTTGAATTTATTGCCCCTTGCAAGTCCTCCTCGATTTTATTTTTAAATTCACCAACAACGATCAAAGAAACAATTTCTCAAGGGAAAAATTGACTCAAGATCGATATCCCGATAATAGCTTGAAAAAACACGTCACTAACACTGACACTCTTACACTTGCGAGCTGATTCTCTTTACTGAAAACGATCTTGAATTATCTCTTTATGCGTCGCGCACGCACGCACCCACTCGGTCCTCCCTTTGATGCCTCTACGTGTATATCCGTCTTCACCGCTACACTCCCTTCATCGTGTCGTGAAAGAGTAAAATCTTCCAGAGAGCATCCGCATCCCACAAAGAGCAAACGAAAACTCAATTCTTGGCCTGCCCATCAACCGGCTGACCCAAGCCCTAGCCTCAGCAATAATTAAATGCTCACGTTGCAAACACACCCTAAGGTTGCCCTAAGGTCGGGACTATTTCCCATTGGTGGAGCACACCCGCGCACTTTTGAAATCCGCCAATCGAATATTAACGAAAGTTCTTTATTCTAAAACGATTATTTTAATCCTTTTAATCACAAGGATCACAAGCCTAAAAGTACACTTCCCCCCTGTTTCTTTTCTTTACACAATAAAGAAATTTTCTAAAAAAAACCTCAAAAAAAAAGTCAACAATTCAAAAAGACGCGGTCAAAGTCCACCAATCAGATTCACTCACAATCAGTCACTGTGAACCCACCTTAAATAATCACAGGTGTATGAACTTTAAAATTCAAAAATAATACTTGATATTTGAACCAATCAGAATCCTTTTTCACTTTATTTTAACAATGTGCTCCCCCTCTCCAAAAAATTTAGATCAAATTCGGTCACACAGCTGCATCCACGCGCGTCGCGCTGCTGTCAACCAGACACTGTGTGTGTATATATCTAATATATAGGTATAGACAATTCTTTTCTGAAAAAAAAGTGACGCACCTTATTATTTACTCGGTTTTGTGATATTTCTACATGTATTTTAGTGCCGAACACTCGCGGCCTTAGTAAAAAAAATATAATATCAAGTGTCAACGACGATCATTTTTACTCATTTAATTTTATAAAATGAGGTTTGTATGGAAAACAATAGAAACATTTTTTCTTTAAATATAATTTTTCTATGTATTCTACAATTATAATATCATAAATGTTAATTTCATGTAAATATGATGCTTTTTGTTAATTTCTGCTTTTTTGTTATCAACAAAAGTCAAGCACGTAGAAAGAGAGATAATGAAAGCAAGTTTAAACAAGTGTCACGTTCAGTCGCCATGTTTTTCTCATTGACGTTTGTTGATGACTTGTCATTGGGAAAGTACGCTATTTTTGACGTTTACCGCGTGCTTTTACTGCAATACCATTCTTTTTATTTCTTTTTTTTTTTTTGAAAAATTGTTGATTACGTTCTGATTATGGATTTAAAATGTTGGAAAATAATTTTTTTTTAATTTATTACTTATTTTTTTCTTTGTTAGAAATATCAACACATTGTTTCTGAAATCTGATACAAGTATATAATTTCTCTCTTTATCATTTTATCACTGTGAAATTACTAAGAAAATTATAAAATTTTTTCTCAAAGATAACTTGCAATCTACTATAATAATTTTTAATTGCAACTGTTTGTCTTATTCAAGTAGGAGATTTTTAAAACTTAATAATTAGAATGAAGATTTTTAGAAATTATTTTTATATTAGATTCTTGCATATAATTATGTTTTTAAAATTTTGAACGTTCAGATAGACGAAAATTTTTTCTCTTACGGTATTTTTTTAATATTATTGTAAATTTTAATGAGAAACAAAAAAATAAATTTAGCATTCATCATGTTTAGAATTTATTTTTTAATGGGCAAAGTTAGTGATAAATAAACTTATTGGTAGAAAATATTTTTTTCAATATAGGTAGAGGAAAAGTATTAAAAGTTTATGAATTTTTTGCAGTGGTCGACCACAAATGACGACAATGAATGGAAAGAGGCTTTCGTCGATTCCTCCAAGACATCAAAATGAATCGACATCTCAGCATTTAGACCTCATAAAATATATTTGTGATTGTAAGTGTTGATAATCAAAAACAAAATTTCAGGCTTTGTACTTGATAATCATTTTAAAAAATATTCTAATTTGTTGTAAAATTAAATTATTTTACAAATTTTTATTTAGAATTCTTCAACAATACGATTCTACTTCAAAATATTTATTAAAACTCAATTAATAAAATTCTTTAAAACATAAAATTTATATGAATGAAATTTTTTTTCAATAAATATTATTTTTGAGAATTCGACTATGTATAATGAAAATAATTGAATTCATGTAAACAAATTATATTGAAATTATTAAAAATAATTGATATTGATAATTGAATTCCTACAATGAACTTTATTCAAATTTTAAAAAATAATTGAATTATTTCGAAGAGTTCAATAAAAATTGCATTGAAAATAATTTACCCCTTTTAATGAAATTTTATTAAAATTTTTGAAAATAATTGATTTATTTCGGTTAGTTTCATGAAATTTTTTTAAATAATTAATTTATTTCAAAAAATTTTATGACAATTGTATTTAAAATAATTGAATTCGTCAGAAAATTTTTTTACTTATGAAAATAATTGAATTTTTGCGAAGAATTTTATTAAAAACCTTTTTAAATAATTGAATTCTTTTGGGAAATTTTTTTAAAATTGTAGATATTGAAAATAATTGAATTTCAGCAAAGAATTTAATTATTTGTAAAAATAAATTACAGAATTTTGTGTCAAAAATCGATTAGTAGCAAAATCGTAAAAAAAGTAGCAAATATTAGTTTTTAGTAGATGAAAGCGAAGCCTGAGATTTTAATGAACAATGTAGTAATATTTATTTTTTTATAATATAAAACAAAAATTAAAAATTTATGTTTAGCTTGGAATTCAGTATCCAGAGAATTGGATACTTGTAATACGTCAAATTATAGAAATGGAGCAGCAACTGTCACGTATTATCAAGAGCGAGAACCGAATCCTCAACTCAAAGGTGCGTTTTTAACTTAATTTTCATTCATCAAAATTTTTTACTTTCAAAAATTTGAAAGCAGAAAAAAAATGTATGTAATTTCAAATATTATCTATACCTATATATAAAAATTATTATTAATATTTCTAGATTTTCAACCATTTAATCTGGAGATTTGGTGGGGACAACGCGTAATGCAAAGTATAACAAGAAATGCAAGTTCTTGATTCGATCATAACCGAACATTCTTTCACAGGCACAAAAAGCAAAAAAGATAAATGATCTTGATTATCTTTCTTGAAGGTTTTTGCGTCCAATTGTTAATTGACGCAATACAATTTTTTTTTCTTTTGTATTTCAAATTTAAAAAAAAAACTTCCTTCAAGAATATTCCGTCATATAAACGAAAGAATGAATAACATTAATTTTATGTACAGCAGGCCTGTTTGGAATTTGTTTTTAATGGACTGAAATTTAAATAAGGGAAGAAAGCAATATAGAACAAACAGATTAGGGATGAAGAAATATTGAAAGGCAAAAGACTTTTTTTTAAAAAAAAAATAATAATGTATGCAGTTTACGACATTCCTTATACCTTTGACCAATATTTGGATATATGTTTTTTGGGGGGGGGGCGAGATTTAACAATTCAATCGTGCATGTCGTTTTCTGTATTTACAATTTCTAGTATTCTTATTAAGTTCGTTTTTTTTGTGCTTTACAGTACCAGGGTTATAAAAATATATTTCGTATAATATATTTAATGACCAATTTTAGGAAGTATGGATCTATTTATTTTATTTGAATTTTTGTTAGTTTGATTGTGCATCAAGCAAAAACTTTTTTTTTCTTTTTATTTTTTTTTAAATGCTTTTACGAAATTATGAACAAAGAAAATTTCGTATTTTCTCCTCGTCTTATCAGAATTGTTAAAAGCGAGATTAAATAAAATTAACAATTGTGTCTGATACAATTTTTACAGTAAATGCTACGCCATTTTCAGATTTATACAGAAAAAAAAAAAATATGTAAAGTGTTTTAGTGCTTGTTTTAAATTGACTCATTATAAATAGTCACTTTCGAAATTCAAATAAGAATCAATTCCGACCATGACGAATGCCTTAATTCTTATTTGAATAATATCGAAAGTGTTTTTCTTTTTTAATTATAATAGATAGTGCGTTGCAAACAGTTTGTAATAAAATATTGCACATTTATAGCGCGAACTGAAAATTGCTACAGATTCAAGTAGATTTAAATTAAGATTATTGTGTACACTGACATTATGTATTGTACAACCAGATAATGTTTCTATAATGACAGAATAATAATGTCTTTGTACAATATCAAAATTTGTTTAAATTTTTCTTTTCACCTATTTTCCTGATTTAATAATTAAAAAGATTGAAAATTAATTTTTTTTTCTTTTCAGTAATAATATTTTCCATATTTACTTTTAATTAATCTCTTAATAACAATTCTATTTATTTCTAAATACAAAATTATTTTTGAAAATATTACAAAATATTTATAGTTAATTAAACTATTTCTATTTTATTTTTCTCGTTTTAAAATTAAAATCTCGATATTCATCATCCCTCGCGCAGTTCGAATCTGCTTGATAAGCTGCATTTAATTTCATGTCAATTACTGTTTTCTCTAATTTAGAAAGACATCTTTCGATTGCCCTTTTTTCACTATTCAACATCTGGAAGTAATTTAAGATTTTTTAATATTTACAGGTCTCGGATAATACGACTTTTTGGATTTTTTTCTCTCCCTTTCCGAAAAAAGGCAACTTTTTCGACTTTTCTTCGAAATATTGCAATAAAATACTATATTTTTGATATAGAATGCAACTTATTTCAATTATTATAGTGTAAAAAATAACTAATAGTCAAATTGAATTTGTTTTGAAAATAATTGAATTTTTACAAAGATTTTACAAAGATTTAAAAAAAATAATTGAATTGTTTCGAAGAATTTTACTATTTAAAAAAGTAATTGAATTGTTTCGTAGAAATTATTAAAATTTTAGAAAATATTTGTATTCATTCGTGAAATGTTATTAAAAATTTTTTTTTTAAATAATTGAATTTTTGCAAAAAATTTTACTAATTATAAAAATAATTGAATTCTTACGAAGAATTTTACTAAAATTTTTGAAATCAATAAACAAGAATAATGAATTAGTAAATTAGTTAATAATAATTGAATTTTTTTAAAGTTTGATTCTGAAATTATTCAAAATAATATTTTTTTGCTCCTTAAAGTCGATCCGAGACCTGTTATTATTATTTTTATTATTATTATTATTTTGGATTTCTTATTAATATTATTTTTTATTTTTATTATTATTTTATTATCCTCCCTAATATTATTATTGTCGATGTTTTTAAATTTATCAAAATTATTTTCCTTTACCGTAGCGCCGACGTTTAATCGAGAAAATGAATTTGACGAATTGGTCAATTTAGTTTGAGAATAATTATCAACTAATTTAACTCTCGCAGTTTGAACTGCACAATTTAGGCCACAATTTTTCATTTTAACGATTTTTTCAATATTCCTGAGAAAAATATAAATCTTATCCATTGATGCATCCTCATATTCGGCTTCGTCATCTGTAAATTGAATTTTTAATGGCAAATCATTGACAGCAAGTAAAAATTTTACTTTCATTTCTTCATTTCTCGAGAATTTAAAAATATATTCTTCATATGGAATCCCATTGTAATGAGACTGAAATATTTCCATATGTGGAATAATCGATGATTTCTCTACATTTCTCGAATTTTGTTTCGAAATTTTAGATCTATTTTTCATTGTTTTAGTATTCCTCTCGATATTATTTGAATTTTGAATTATTGTATCCATTCTCATGGGTTCGGGTAGAAAATTTATTTTTTGATTAGATTGTGAAATTGATTTTTTTCCCTCCTCGACGACATTTGGTAAATTTGGTAAATTACAATCACGAAAATTCAGAGATTTTATTTGCTTTGGAGATTCATCTTTTTCTGGAATTTGTTCTGTTCCTGAATATTTTATCTGTAACTTTTGGAATTTTTCTTGGGTCTCTTTTATTTTTATTTTTTAAATTAAAATTGTGGGAGTAACTTAAGAAATTAATTTAATTATTAATTAGTTTACTATTAAATAGTTTCTAGTTTCAATTTATTATTTATACAAATTTGTAAATTAAAAATAATATTATTTGGTTTTTATACCTTTTTCTTAAGACTTTTGACAATTTCTTTCAAAATTGAATTTTGCAGACGAAGTTGTTCCTGTTCGGAAAATTTATTATTATTCTCCTTTTCTTCCCAAGTGAGTTGTCTTAATTTTCGCATTTTTTCAACATAAACGCAATCGTGTTTCTCCAAATTTCTCAAAACTAATTATATATAGACAAAAAATTTTGCGATTGTTTTTTTCGTTTTTTTTTCAAAAATTCATTTCATTTCTTTTAAATTGGCCAATTGAAACGCACCTTCGGCTACGATTTGACAAACTGATTCAACGTTTACATTAAACTGTGCCAAAGTCTCGAGAAGATTTGCCAGCTCTAAGGTTTTCTCCTGTTTATTTTTGTTCTTCTGCTGAAGAATGCTCACCTGCTTCTCCAACATCTCCGACTGGAAGATTAAATTTCCCACATATTGTTCAATTTTTATTTATTTCTTTTTTTACTTTTTTATAAAACACTTTTTTTGTATTTTTATTTTTGATTTTTTTAATTTTGTTAGAAATTTTAAAATTTTCACAAGAAAATTATAATTTCATTAGGTAGGAAATAATTTTAATTAAATTGTACCTTTCCTCGAGCAGTTTCGTATAGTTTTATCAATTCTTGAAAATGTTTTTCTGCACTTTTTCGCGTTACTTGCAAAATATCTTCACATTCTCGCTTCATGCAGGTGATAAAATTTTCGCGCTCTAACTCACTCCTATTATGAAATAATTATTTTAATTTAAATTTGTTTTTAAAATAGAAAAATTATATTACCATTTATTAATAATAATAATTATAATAATTTTAATTTAATTAATTTAGTTTAATTTAGTTTTTATAGTGCAAATTTAAAATTTGCACTGAATTATTTGAACCAAACAAAAAATTTAGTAGATTCAAATATATTTTATTTGAAGCAAATAAAAAATGTACTAGAATCAAGTATATTTTATTCGAACCAAATAAAATTTATTTTAACCATAAATAAAATTTATTTGAGCAAATAAAAAATTCAGTAGGCTCAAAGATATATTTTCTGGGGGCATATTGATATTTTTATTATATTTATTAGTAATGTTTTTAAAATTTAATAATTTTTTCATCATTTAGTAGAATTTTTAACGGAAATCTTACGTTCTCTGTTGCAAAAGAAAAGCTTTCTTCCAATAATCATTATCATTAATGGCCCTCATTAATCTCAATAGAAGTTATCCTCGATTTGATAATATTTTCTCCTTTACGAAAAATTCAATTTTCTCTAATCTGGCACAAAAAAATTACATTAAAAAATTCTAAAGAAAATTTTATTGCACTGAAAAAAAAATGTATTTGATTCAAATAAAACCGATTACTCGACTGTTGTCAATTAAATATTTACTTGAATCAAATAAATTTTATTTGACTCAATTAAATGGTATTTGAACCAATAATTTCAGTATTTGAAGCAAATATGAATTAAACCATTTAATTGACTCAAATAAAAATTATTTAATTGATAATAGTCAAGTAATCGGTTATTTGAATCAAATAATTTTTTTCAGTGTAGGTATACTACTTTTAAAATACTTTTTCTAAATTAAAAAATTAATGGGTATTACACCAAGAGAAAAATTTTATTTAATCCAAATATATTTTGTTTGAGTTAAATAAACGTATATCTGTATCAGAACCAACTAGACTTTTTATTTGTTTTACATAAAAATTTCATTCGACATAAATAAAATATATATTTGAGACAAATAAAATTTTATTTAAACCAAATAAAATTTTATTCAAACCAAATCAAATTTTATTTAAACCAAATAACATTGATTTGTAACAAATAAAAAGCCTATAGCTGGTTCTGAGTAAAATATATCTTTTCTCTCTGGATGTAAAAAAAATTTTGCAAAAAAAATTGATCACGTCATAAAATTTTGAATTAATCACAAAAATATTTTTTTTTTGAATATATTTAAAAATATCTTTCTAAATAACAAAAAACAAAAATTCGGTAGCGAAAATTTACTTATGTTTATAGTTTGTGTGGGTGGTTTAAAACGAATGTCAGCGAGACAGTAAAAGTGACGTGAGTAAAATGACGTCAACAACGCACTTCGGTTTCAAAAAAAAAAAAATTAATAAATATAAAAATAAATCTCTATAATCTAATTCGAGTGAGAATTAATTAAATTATTTTGAATTTCAAAAATGTTCAAGCATCTTTTTTTTGAGAAAGTTACTCATGAGATTTCCGCATACAGAAAATTATATTATGAAATAAGACATTTGTTGCCAAAGTATTTGGGGAAATATTTTTTTGGATCAAAAATTTTCTTTTTTATGATAAGAATTTTTTTTATATTTTCTTTTTCTTGTGGCGGTTTTTGAAAAGGAAAGGGGAAAAAGTGAAAAAGAAGAAGAAGAAGAAGAAGATTATTTTGCTTTGGCCAGGAATTAATGGCATGTGAGATAGTGGATTATAGGGGGGTCGAAAATAACTTAGAACGTTAAGAGGAAAGGGGGAAAAAGAGAGGAAGAGGGAGAGAGAGAAGAAAATGTTGGTGGAGGAGTAGGTGGTCGTATGGTCTTTGAAGCTTTTGCTTTAGTGAGTTTCGTGTGTTCCATCTTCCGAAGTACACGAGTTTTCTACGTTTTGGCATTTAGGTAAGTATTTTGCGTCATTGGTTCCGACTAAAAAGGATTGCAAGGAAGTGCAATGTTCACCCTCTCCTTCTGATACAATTTCTTTGCAGAAGAAGTCAAAAGAGGGATGTGGTATTACACTCACATTTATGTAGCATTCGCAGTAGCAACGCTCAATTTACCAACGTCACTCTCACTGTCCTCTTATCTTCTTTTTTCTTTTTTTTCTTTTCAATTTTTTTCTTTTTTTCATTTACTATTTTATTTTATTTTTTTATTTTCTATATTCTATTTTTTTTATTTTCTATATTCTATTTTTTTATTTTCTATATTCTATTTTTTATTTTCTTTATTCTATTTTCTATTTATTTTCCATTTTCTTCATTTTCTATATTCTATTTTCTTTTATTAATTTCTATATTCTATTTTCTTTTATTAATTTCTTTATACTATTTTCTTTTATTAATTTCTTTATTCACTTTCTATTTTCTTTTTCTTTGAATATCAGTCTGTCAAAAAAAGTACTTCTTGTTCCCTATCGTTGAATTGTTCAACATTTGACAAAACTATTTAATGCAATTTATAATTTATTACACTTTACAATTTGAAAAGATTTTTTAAATTATTATCTCCAAATCTATTTTGAAATTTTGATCTACTTTCACAATTTCCGGAAGCGAAAAAGAGTTTACTAATTCCTAATATTTTAATATTATTGTAATTTTATTTTATTTCAATTCGCCTTTTTTGTCCTGATTTGCGTTATTTATTTGTAAACTAATGATTTTTTTTGTTAATTTTATAAACTACACAGAAAGAAAAATTTGATTCAAATAACCGATTTCCAGTCTGTTATAAAAAAAAAAAAAAAAATTACTTGAATGAAATAATTTTTATTTATTTTCATTATTTTATTAAATGGTATTTGAACAAATAATTTCAGTCTTTGAAGCAAATACCATTTAATTGACTTAAAAATTAGTCGATTCAAGTAAATATTTAATTGATAATCAAGTAATCGGTTTTTTAAATCAAATTATTTTTTTCAGAATTTTTTTGTTAATTTTATAAACTAATGAATTTATTTTTTCTTAAATTTAATTACTAATTTATTTCCTTGGAATTTTGAAAAAAACTTTCTAAATTTATGCAATTACTGGGGGAAAAATGATCATTCCAAAAAAAAAATTTATTCCAGAATCGAATTTCACCTAACTAGACTAGTAGACTATCAAAACTAGAAATGAGTGTGAAAGAGAAACGAAAATTGCGTGTATATATATTCGGAGGAATTTTGTAGCAAAAATAACCACTCAGAATCACTCGTTTCTGTTCACTGGGACGTTGTTATATAGTTATTTTGTAATATAGAAGTTTTGTCGCACGTTTTCCGGAAGAGACACACAAACTTTCGTTTGCTAACTGAAAACAAAAAACAAAAAGTAAAATTATCTCATTCGCTTTCAAAATATGAATAGTTTTTTGAAAATAAAATCCAAATAACGAGGGAAAACTCACAAAAAAACAAAAAATTCGTTTTTGAAAATAGAAGAATAGAATAGAATAATAAAATAAAAATTAGAATAAAAAAGAAAATAAAAAATAGAATAAAGAAAATAAAAACAGAACTCATAAAATATTTACAGTAAATTCCGATTGTTTAAAGGGTTTAAACAGAAAAAGAAGATTTGAAAATCAATTTTCAACGATAATCTAATTTGAACTAAAAAAAAATTTCCTGAACTTTAATGAAAATACCATTCAGAATATTGTGAATAGAAATAATAAAGATGAGTTAACAGAATTAACCCGCGAAAGATCATTGATCTCTTTAAGAAAGTTAAATTTAACAAAACAAAATGTGAAATCTCAAATTTCGCATCTTTCTCGCATGACTTTGATTTTCTTGGCACAATATTATAGACGGCTAATAATTAACAAAAATTTCACAACGCAAACTTTGTAATAACATTTCATTAATCTCTATAATATATAAATTTTATTTATATACCTATATATATATATATAACTATCAAAAAAAAATATATATATCGAAGGAAGAAAAAGAAACTTTATTAGGATTTTTTAATTTCAGAAACGAGAAACTAAAAAAAAAAATAGAGTCGAGCACAATGTCCGGCCCAGGGCCAAGGTTTGTGAATAACCAATTTAATTCTCCTATAAAATTATATTCGCCACAGTCAATCCAGGAAACGTTGGATCGCCAAACTCAAATTCTAGCCAACGGTGCAATCGGGTAAGAATAATAATTTGCTATATTTATTTTAAAATGCGAATGACAACAAAAAAAGTTGGATCAAAAATATTTACAAAATAGAAAACAACTGTAAATTCATATCGTTTTATACTTGTTTCGAATTTCAAAACTAAAATAATGTTTCGTCACAAATCAATTTTATGAAAACACGATTCATTTTATTACACAACATTTTTTTACTAAACAAATTTTCTTATAAACAAATTTTTATAAAATTATTTTTTTTTTTTTATTATTTTTATAATAAAATTTTTTTCTAATAAAATGAATCTTTTTAAAAGAATGAATGTTTTTAGTGAAAATATAAATCTTTTTATTAAAGGAATGCATCGTTTTATTAAAATTAAAAGAATGAATTATTTTATTAAATACAAAATTCTGTCAAAGAAATATATTTTTAGAAATAGAATGTTTAAAAAAAAAAGATCGTCCTTGGATTGAAAAGTGGAATTTGAGATTTAAGCATTTTGATGAAAGACAATAATGAGGAAGAGAGCGAAAATTTTCTCGAATTATAACACGCAAGGAACTTTGTTAATTGAAACACTTGCCAGGAAAGGAAAGAGAATAAGCTAATTGTCACGTAGAAGATCAACTACTAGAGCGCAATTAATACGAAAATAAAACTATTCCATGTATTATTGTCACAAAAGAAAACAAGATTTGTGACTTATTGGCAGAAGTGTGAACCTGTACACCGCAACTTGGACGCATTATTGTCCCTCGAGAGGCGATAGACTATTATTGTTTTAGAGACTTTAAAATTAACCCAGACGAACGAGAAATTTTTGAAATTTTCTTTTTTAAAGTCAAAAGTAAAGGTAAAGTCGAAAGGAAGTAAAATCAAAGGAGTAAAATCTAAAAGAGTGAAATCCAAAGGAGTAAAATACAAAAAAAGCAAAAAAATATAAGGAGCAAAATTCATTAAAAAGTTAAAATCAAAGTAAATTCAAAATGAGTAAAATCTAAGAGTGAAATCAAAAACAAATAAAATTGAAAAAAGCAAAACTATAAGGAGTAAAATGTAAGAGTAAAATCAAAAGAAATAAATTTGAAAAAAGCAAAAATGTCGAAAGCAGAAAAATCAAAAGAAATAAATTCTAAAGGAGAAAAATCCAAAAAAAAAATAAAATTAAAAGAGCAAAAGCAAAAGAAATAAATCTGAAAAAAGCAAAAATGACAAAAGTAAAAAAATGAAAAGACGTAAATTCTAAAGGAGTAAAATCCAAAAAATATAATTGAAAGAGCAAAACAAAAAGGAGAAAAATGACTTTTCACCTGATTTTCAGAATATTTTTTAAATCGATAATAATTACTAGTTAATAATTATTTTCAAAAAAATTGGAATTAAAATTTTTCAAAGAACTGAATTTATAATTTTTAATTAAAATTATTCAAAATTTTAATTTAGAACCTTTTACAATTTAATTATTTCTAAAAATTTGAACCAATAATTTTAGTATTTGAAGGAAATCAAATTTATTTGATTTGATTCAATTATTCAATTATTTTATAATAGAGGAGTAATCGGTTATTTGAATCAAATAAAACCTTTTTTTTACTGCACTAAAATTCCTACAATATTCAATTATTTTCTAAAGTTTTCAACTCATTCTACTCAAATTCTAATTATTTTTAATGATTTTTATTTAATTTTTTAAGAATTGATAATAATTCAGAAAAAAAAGAAAATTTCAATTGAAATTTTGCGAAAAATTTTTACTATAATTTCAGAAATTCAATTTGATTTTCTACTATTTTTAATTAAAATTTTTCTCTAAATCAATTACATATATTTTGAATAATTTTCAGAAAGCTCTTCGAGAATTCTATTATTTCATTACAAATATTCATTTTTTTATAAAAATTCGAATTGCACCTCTTTATTTTTTTTTTTAAGTATCGAAGGTGAATAAAAATTCAACGACAGTTTAAGTTTCAGAATTTTTTCAAAGTTACACCAAAAACAAGAATTTTTGTAGCATTTCTATAAAAATAAGTCGAAAAATGGCACATTTTTTTAAAATAGTCGAAAAAAAGTCGAAAAGTAAAATCAAAGGAATGAAATAAAAAGGACTAAAATCAAAAGGATCAAAATAAAAAATTTTGTCCATTAATTAAAATAAGGAGAATGAATAAGTTGACATTGAGAGAAAATTCATTGACACATTTTATGACATCGATCATGAATGAAATACGGCAAATGTCTTGAGAATGAAGATGCGCTCAGTGACCCTCTCTCTCTCTCTCTCTCTCTGTCTCTAGGTCGCGGCTTAACGATTAATATCAGTGACGTCATATTTTATAATTGACTCGAATGAATCAGAAAAGATTTTTTTCTTTTTTTTTTGAAAAAATATTAAGCCGTCGGTGATCAGTATAAACCTATGTGTATAGATTATTTTCAGAAACGCGAATCATCGCATGATAGAAATAAACCCCTGGATGCGAGCTTAATCTGTGTTGCGCAAAGAACCCGCGAGTCGTCCGTACTTGACTTAGTTTCGCGTTTGATGGCCTCAGGTATTCACTTAATATCCGAAAGTGTCTATTCGATAATAATTCACTGCTAATAATTCGCCTGATAGTAATTTTCAATATAGAAGAAATAAAATCACCAATAAAATGATCGAGGAACGAAGGTGCGTGATAATTGTGATTTTTTTCAATTTACGAAAATTGAAATTAAATTCTTGAAAATTTGATTGAAATTTAAATTCAAATTTGAATTGAAATTTAGATTCTAGCAAATAATTTGAATTTTGGAAATATTTATTCAATTTTTCGAATAAGGATAGATTCGATACAATAATTCAATGAGGATTTATAACAGTAGTTGAATTTTTTTCATATAAATAAATGACGAGAGGAATTTTTTTATTGCAGGATCGATTTCAACCAGTTGGCAAAACCGGCGAATCTTCAAAATAGCGCAGTGCTTCGGATGCTCGAGGAAGAGGAAATCAGAAAGCGCAATGGACAACAACCGAGTGAGTTCGAAATTAAATTTTATTTTTTGAGAAAAAAAAATTTTAGGAATTGAATTTAATTAATTAGATCGAAATTTACTATTTTCTTCTGCACCCCAGAGAAATTTTTTATTTAAGTCAATATAATTTTATTTAGTTAAATGAAAGTATATTTGTTACAAAGCTTTGTAAATTATTTGTTTCTTTTAAATATTATATTTAGCACAAAAAAAATCTTATTTGAACCAAGTAAAATTTATTTGAACCAAATAGAATTTATTTAAACCAAATAAACATTAATTTGAACTAAATAAAATTTATTTGTACCAAATAGAATTTTTTAAACCAAATAAAAATTAATTTGAACCAAACAAATATTAATTTGAACCAAATAGAATTAATTTGAACAACGAATTAAAATCTTGTTTACCAGAAATAAAATTTTTATTTGAATCAAATAAAGATTAATTTTAGTCAAATAGAATTTATTTAAACCAAAAAAAATTTATTTTGAACCAAATAGAATATATTTAAACGAAACAAAATTAATTTGGACCATCAAATAAAAATTAATTTGATCTAAATAAAATTAATTTCAACGAAATAAAATTTATTAGAACCAAATAAATAATTTACTAGCCTTTGAGTCAAATATATTATTTTTCCTGTGGGTGTTTATTAAAATAGAAATAATATACAAGAATAAATAAATTTATTTTTCTTTTATTTTTAAAATTTAGTCAAAAATTCCTCCGAATAAATTCTATTTTAAAACTATGAGTGTAAAGCTAATTAAGTATTTTAAATATGGGGTTAATTTTGACCTTCTGTATAAATGAGAGACTTTCCAGAAGCACGTGTGACCTCCCCCCTTTTTTCTTAAATATTGTTAACCCCCCTACTCTTGTCTTGACCGTGAAGAAAAGTCTAAAATCAGTCTCAAGATAGTTTCTACACAATAATCAAGTAGACTATCGAATAAGTTTAGTTGTTGGCCAGTTTTCGTTTTGACAATATCGCGATATCACACTATTCAATATATAATTTAATTGCAAAAGGTATAATTAAAAATAATATAGATCCACAAAAACACCCCCTCTTTGAAATTTACTTTAAAAAAAAAATTCACATCTCATCTTGACGTACTGTAATTTTTAAATTCGAAAATTAATTAAGAGTCGAATTTTTATTTTAAAACTAGCTAATGTTTTCAAATTTTTATTTATTTATTTAAAAATTTAGTTAATTATTTATCATTTAAATATTTATATAAATATTTTTTATTTAACTTTTCAATTCTTTTTTTCTTTTAATTCGACTCTTTATTTTTTAACTCGGACTATTTAAATTTTGACTATTTAAATTTTTAATATCTGAATATTTACTATTTTTATTTATTTATTTACAAATATTTACAATTTTAATATTTATATTAATATTAATATTTATTAGGTGTTCAGATACTTTTGACTATTTAAATATTTTTTATTTAAATATTTACTATTTAAACAATTACTATTTAAATATTTATTGTTTAAATTCCAGTTTACCTATTATTTGCAAACATTATTAATAAATAAATAATGAAAAAATAAATAATAATTTATTATTCATAATTATTATCCATTTTATTATAATTATTAAATCTATTATTCATTTATTATTTGTTAGGTATAATTTAAGAAAAAACATTTAAAGTGCCGAAATTATGCTATTATTTTGCGAAAAGTTAATTTGTTATATAAATAACTAAAGTTAAAGACGTAATTTACACCGCGAAAGTTAAATGCACCAATTCTAAGTAGTAAAAGTGCCAGTGTTGTGATGCCGAGTGGAAAAAAACTGCTTTAGTCAGACCGTAATAAATTGAAAATTACGTTTGCGTTTGTAATCATTAATTACCACGTAGAAAATATAAATAAATATCTACAATATTCGACTAAAAAACATTTTTTTAATTAAAAATTATATAACAAATTTTTTTAATAGTATAAAATTAATTGTTTCATAAATATATCGTTTTAAATTGCATCCAAGGCATCCAAGTTATTCTTTATTTGCCAAAAGAAATATTTTTATCGTTATTGTCAACTTTAAAGAATTCAAAATAGTTTTAACTAATTTTTTTACTTTAATTTTTCTGTTAGAAAGGAAAAATTATTTTTTAACTTTTCTCTTCGAAAGGATCAATTCTTTTCTAATTTTTCTGTTTAAAAGGAAAAATTATTTTCTAATTTTTCATTTCAAAAGACAAAATTATCTTTTACTCTAAATTTTCTGTATAAATCGTCAAATCGAAGCATTTAATTTTTTTCCTTCATAAATATCGGGAATAAAATAAAATATCTTAATAGTTTGTAAATAATTGTAAAAAGAGGACTGCTTTCACTTCGAAAAGTTTTAAAAATATAGCAATTTAATTATTTAAAATACAGTATAAAAATACTGTATTTTTGGTTTAATTATTAATAATTGTTTATAGCAAAGATACGTTTGTAATAAATCAAAACGAATTATAGATCTGAAACGTGTAGCGTGGCCTCCTCCGCCAGAGGATCAAGATATTGACGAATACATTGAACAAGGCCCTGTTCAAGCCAAGGTAATATTTAATAAATACAATTTTCAAATAATAAAGCTTACTCTTTTAGTGAAAACCGACATATTGCATTAATCTTCAACACCAACGCAAACATGGTGCCAAATTTCTATTGAGTGACTCTCTAACAATGTATTGCAACTGACATAAGACAAACAAAATATTTTTCACAGTCACTTTAATATTTACTTAATATTAAAAGTATAATTTGATCTATCAATTAATTATACTTTACTAATATTTTGCGATACTTTGCAATTTATGCCAAAAAAAAAATAAGTTAAGTCAGCAGTACCGAATTTTACGAAATCTGCTTTTTTTGCTATATATTTATGTTAATTTATAAATCAAGGACCATTCTTGAGTTCCTAGTTGACTGCACATAATTTTCGAGGCTAGAGGGTCTAACAGCTTTTTTCAATCATCTTATCATTAATTATCAATTCTTGCATTCTTTATTATTTATCAAAGCATTTTTTATTTTTCTTTCAATTTAATTTTTTTGTCTATTTGTCTTGCCTTTATAATTAAATAGACAAATAGACAATTTAATTTAAATTAAACAATTTATTGTTTCAATTTAATTAAATTTACTATTTAAATGAAATTAAATTTTTGAAACCTAATTACATTTCGGTACCGACCGAAATTCTTTTTTGAAAAAATTAAATTTAAAAAATATGACCAAAAACCCTTGTAAATTACTCACAGTAATTTAATTAATTTTCATTTATTTATTTTGACAGTGAAAAAAAAATTATTTAATTCAAATAACCGATTACTTGTCTATTATAAAAAAAAACATTTACTTGAATCAAATAAATTTTATTCAAGGCAAATAAATTGTATATTTGAACCAATAATTTCTGTATTTGAAGCAAATTCAATTGAATAGACTTTAATAAAAATTATTTGATTCAAGTAAATATTTGAAGACGTATAATTAAAGTTATTTAATTTATTTAATAACCAGGGTGGTCACAAGTTTCAGTTAAAAAATTTAAAAGCTAATTTCCATTAAATTTTCATTTCTAAATTTACGCTTAAAGATTTTTTGATTAAAATTTTTGATAATTCAATTATTCTGAAAATTTGCAATTAAAATTCTTCAAAAGTTGATTTTCAAAAATCCTAATAAAATACTGAAGAAAAAATTAATTATTTTCAATTGAATTTTACAAAATTTCAATGGTTCAAAATATTTTTAATTGTATATTTCGAAAATTTAAATAGAAAAATGATTCAAAAATAATTTTTTAAAGATTTATTTATAGTTATTTCTCACACTATAAAAATCGAAATGAGTTAAATTTAATACTAAAAAATATGATATTTTATTGCAATATTTAGAAGAAAAGTCGAGAAAGTCGACATTTTTTAAAATAATTATTGTCAGTAAATTTAGGGAAATGGCAGGAAAAAAAATTTTTTGTCAGGGAAATTTAGAAAATTAAGATTTCTTTCGACTTAAGTCGAAAGAAATTTTAATTTTCTAAATTTCCCTGACTTTACTGACATGTGGCCACCCTGAATAACTATTAATCAATATAATTTATCAAATATTAATTTAAATTTAAGTATTTACATATTTAATTTCCTCAATTATTATTATTACTTAATAACATTGAAAATTGGTCGAAAAATAAAATACTTATGAAAGAATGCAAGAGTTGATAAATAGGAGAATTATACCTTTCATTTTTTTGAACATCAAAAAAGACTCGTGGAATTGGCGAATACGCCACATATCAGAGTAGTCCATCGCCTCAGAATTTTGCACCAACATCGCCAACGCCAGTGAGTCCTGGTGGCACATTACGTCAGCCCTCACACTTTCAACAGCAAAAATCGGCTAAAGGTTGGGCACCCGTCACACCCCCAGCCACTTCTCCTTTGCCCCAAACAATTCTCCAGCCACCCACTTGGAATCAACCACAACAACTGCCAACACATTTGCAAACTCAGGTGAGTTTTAATTGGTACAAAAAAATGTTCATCAAATTTTTTTTTATATCTAATTTTTATATAATATAACTTTTTTTTCTATTTTTATATACTTGCGATTCACTCACTATTTCCAGATCTATAATTCGTCTCCTATATCAATAATTTTGAGTCACTTACTTTAAAAAACGATGTTGCGAAATTGATTCAAGTTTAAAAGACCTAAAACAGAAAATTAATAATTAATTGACATTAAATTTTTCAAATTTTTCAGAAATTACAAAGTATGTATTATTTTATTTTTATATTATAACGATTGTGACTAATTGTTTCATTTCATTAAACATTCTCTTTTCTCATACCATTCAGAATTCATGTTTTGCATAATTATAATTATAAATTTAAGCTGAGCTATAAATAAAACTCGAAGAAAATGTGTAGTCAACGGATAATTTAATTATAATCGAAAAAATTATTAAACTATAGATACGATTGATTGTAGTTTTTTTTTTATATTCCAAAGCATAGAACAAGAATAGAAATTCCAGAATAGATATTGTTATTTTTAAATTCCTATTTTCCTATATTGCTTGAAATATAAAATTAAGTTTTCAGAAAATATTTTCAAACGACAATTTATAGATTTTTCTTAATATATAAATATAGTCGACACAAGTTGAAAAGAAAAATGAATAAAATATAGTTTCAAGATGAAATAAAAATTTGATTACAGAGCTCAGTGGATCGAACGCGACAACCTTATTCATCACCAATTTCTACTTTTGAAGCACCACCTTCAACAATTACATTAAGGCCAGAACCTCCAATTTCTCAGGTAATGTTAATAATAATAACAAAACCGTATAATAAGAAAATGATAATTACAAAAATTGACTTTATTATTAAATTAATTATCTTGAATTAATTGAAATTGAAAAAGGTATAAAAATGGTAATCAAAGGAAAACTTGATTGAAAAACGTCAGAGTTATAATGTTACTAACCACTGATTAACTGAATAAAATTGACGTGTACCTTAAAAATAACTTTCAACAAAACTAATGTCTTAGATAATATACATGAAATTGAAAAGAGCGTGCGAATGTTGTAACGCTAAACCCTCTCATAATTTATCAAAGTTGAACATTCATAATGACACAGTCCACTTGGCAATCTCTCAATTGCTATTAGGCACATTATTAATGCCGCAATAATATTCAACTAAATAACTGTCTTGATTCTCGGTTTAAGGTTAATTCATTTGTTATTTAATTTGTACATAATACACTTCCAGGGTTGCTACAAAAAAATTAATTTTCTCTTTCCCTGATTTTCCAGACAAAATTTTCAATTTTTCCCTGACTCTAAAGAATATTTTGTTTCACTCTACAAATTATTAGATACTCAAAGAACTGTTCTATTACATTTATTTAGGAATTTTTTTAATTAGTCGGAGTGATTGATATCTTTATGTTTTATAATAATTTAAATTTCCATAAAATTTTTCAAAAAAAATTAAATTAGTTAGAAAAATTTTAATAAAATCCTTCCCAAGAATTCAATTATTTTTACAAGTAATAAAATACTTCAAATGAATTCAATTATTTAAAAAAAAGTAATAAAAAACGTGTCAAGAATAATTGAATTATTCAATAAGTAATAAAATTCTTCGCTGAAATTCGAATATTTTCTAAATCTACTTTTTTTAATAAAATTTCTCAAAATAATTCAATTATTTAAAGAAAATGTAATAAAATTCGTTTCAAGAATTCAATTATATTCATAAATAATAAAATTCTTCACAGGATTTCAATTATTTTTAATACAACTTAAAATAAATTTCTCAAAAAATTTTTGCAAGAATTCAATTACATTTCACAAATAATGAAATTCTTTGTTGAAATTAAAATATTTTCAAAATGTGCTATTTTAATCAAATTTTTCAAAAGAATTCAATTATTTAAAAAAACTAATAAAATTCGTTGCAAGAATTCAATTATTTTCATAAATAATAATATTCTACACAGGAATTCAATTATTTAAAATAATATAATAAAATTTTTGTGCAAAAATTCAATTATTCTCCTAAATAATAAAATTCTTCACAGTATTCCAATTATTTTTAATACAAATTTAAGTAAATTCTTCGAAAAATTTAATAATTTTCAAAAAATATTATTAAAATTCTTCGAAAGAATTCAATTCTCAAGTATTTTTAAAACGCTTTGCAAAAGATCCTTGGCAATTTTCAAATCCATTTGTTTACAATTTAATTTTATGAAATTTTGATTATTCGGAAATTCTTCAGTTAAATATTTAGAAAATAAAAACTTGAAATAATTTTAAAAAAATTGATTTAAACTTTTAAAAAAAAATTAATTCAACAGAATTGTCAGTTAAAAGTATGAAAAATTTATATTTTCAAAGATTTTAATTTGAAGCCTTTTTAAAATTAAATTATTTTTAAAAATTCATACTATAATGCTTTTAATATTCAATTATTATCTAAAATGTTAAATGAAATTAATTTTTAAATCAAGTTTTATTAGAAAATTCTACAAGAATTCATTTATTTAAATATAAAAATAAATAAATGAATGTTTTTCAAAATTTAATCTCATAAAGAATTTTATCAACAAATTTTTAAATAATAGAATTATTTTTTCGACAAATTTTAATAAAATTTTCAAGAATAATTACATTTCTTGAGGAATTTGATTAAAATGGTATTAAAAATAATTAAAACTCTATGATGAGTTCTATTCTTTATTATTCATGAAAATAATTGAATCTCTGTAAAAAATTTTATTATTTATGCAAATAATTGAATTTATTGCGAAGAAATTTATAGAAAAAATTGGTGAATAATTGAATTCCTGTTAAATTTTTATTATTTATGAAAATAATTGAATGTTTGCTTAGAATTTTATAAACACTTTTTTGAAATAATTGAATTCATTTGAAAAATATTATCAAAATAGTAGATATTGAAAATCATTGAATTGAGGAAAATTTTTGAAAATAATTGAATATTTACCAAGTTTTATTGGAAATTTTGAAAATAATTGAATTTTGGAGAAGAATTTTATTAGTTTTAAAGATAATTGAAATTTTGACGAGAATTTTTTTTTTATTTCTGAACATAATTGAACTTCTACGAAGAATTTTATTGTACTTTTGAAAAAAAATTGAATTTCTGCAATCATTTATAAGTTCTCCAAAATTCAATTTATTCCAGTACATTAATAAAAATCCCTGACTTTTCCCTGACCTGTAGCAACCCTGACTTTTCCATCGGAAAATTCGAAATCTCGTTACTTTCATTTTAGAATGAATCATATTAATAAAAATACATACGAAGTTTGAAATTATAAAGACGGAAACATATAGAAAAATTACTGGACCAATATTAATTATCAGTAGAAAAAACACTGTTGTACAATTAAGACAATTATTATTAAAAATATACCAACCTACTATGACGATGTCCTGTGCTTCTCGACGACCACGTTTTAACCTCAAATTCCAAAATTCCAAAATTCTTCACTTTGCAAGCTTTGCAATGTTGGAAATGCAGAAATTCACCAGCAGAATCAACTTTTTATTATATTTTACCCTCCAAAATACTGATTCTACAGTAATAAACATCAATTTTTAGGAATGAAATGAAGAATTTGCAATGTCAGAATCGTCAAAACTTTCTGAATTATAAACAGATTTATCCAAGTATAAGTATTTCGATTACTCCAACTCTTTCCCAATATTGTAACTACATCTGTTTTTTCACCTTTCACGACAACTTTTACCTTTTATTCGCGATTTTAAATAAACAAATTTCGTTAAATTATTAACAAATCTCACAAATCCGTTGGTAGCGTCGGTTTCACTTCTCTTTTTGAATAACGACACTAGCGCCCTCATTTCACGCGTAACTTTTACAATCTTTTACGATCGCATTTACACATTGTTACAAACGTTACGTTGACTGCATATTGTTTCTACACCTACCCATCCCTGGTTTATTTTTGACATTTATACATCTATAGGTTATGAACACCCCTGAGTTTATTTATAAACACGTGACATCAATCTATTTTGTAAAAAATGACCAAAAACTAATATAAACATTAAGTTTTAAAATAACTTTCAACAAAAACAATGGAAAATATTGTCGATTTACACTGGTTTCCATTAGTGTCACAAGGAAATATATATTCACTGACAAATTTACGATCAACAAAAAATGCCAATAAAGTACTTGTTGCATCGTTAAAAAGAAATATTTACCTTTGCGAATGTCACGTATTACCGAAAAATCAAATAAATCCTCTAATTAAGGAATTATTATTCACCTATATTCCAAGTGGAGCGGAAATAATATCCATTGACGCATACAATAAATCAAAGGAAGACGATGAATTTGTTATTGGAATTACAATAATGAAATACAGCAGTGAAACATCAGTGGAAAGATATTTAAATATTTATTCAGAAGGTGCTGGAGATACTGATGATAATAATTCTATTGAAGCAATTGCACAAAATTGTCTTATGGTCGAATTAAATTATACGCCTTATCATTTGTATCATACTGAAGTTATTACACAGGATTTGGAGAAGGAAATTGTTTGGTTAATATCGAGTGATGATTTTAAAGTTCACATGATTAGGGAAGATAAGACAAGTCATGGATACATTGAATCGGAAATTGATAAATATTTTCCGGAATTTATTGAATTAAAAGCAATTGCTCTTTGGATGGATATTTATTATTATGAGGATTATAAGCGAAGATTAACTGTTGTTGGTTGTGAATGTGGATTGGTTAAAGTATCAGAAATTGATGTAATCAAGGGGGAAATTAATCGGAGTTGGTCGCTTAGGTATAAATTTTTCTTGAATAAAAATCTCTGTAGCATTTGTAGATTTTCAAAATACATAATTGTTACTAGCAAATGTTACGTGATATTCAATTTATTATTATTATGCAAATTACTAAATTTTTTATTTTCAAATATAAATGTTCGAATAAATAATTAATTTAAAAAATTTACTTAAGTATCAAGTACATAATTATTATTGTTTGTATATTCAAATTTAATTTCAAATTCAAATTAAATCTTCGCAAGAATTCAATTATAAAAATAGTCGTGTCTGTTAACAATTATAATTAAATATTTGATTTTTGAAGTTTATTAAAATTGTATTAAAAATAATTGAATTCCTGAGAAGAATGTTATTATTAAAAAAAAAATAATTTAATTCTTGCCATGAATTTTACTCCTACTTATAAAAATAATTCAATTGTTTCCAAGGATTTATTAAAATTTTAGAAAATAATTGAATTTTTTCGAACAATTTATTAAAAATTTTAGAAAATAATTGAATTCTTTTGTGAAATTTTATTAAAAATAATTGAATTTTTGTAAAGATTTTACAATTTAAGAAAATAATTGAATTTTTTTGAAGGAGTTATTAAAATATTAGAAAATAATTGAATTCTTTCGAGATCTCATTCTTTATTGAAATTTTATTGAAAATAATTTAATTTTTAAACATTTTACTATTTAAGAAAATAATTGAATACTTGAATTAATAAGTAAATTTTTGAAATTTTAAATCTGAAATTATTCAACAATTGAAGTTGTTAATAGTAAAAATTTTTGTAATTTGCATAAAAATTATAATAAATTGAACATGACGTTCCGCGCGTAACATTTGCTAGTATAATAATAATAATTGAATTTTAATTTAGATACGACAGTCCAGTATCCGGTGTTCGTATATTTACCCACAGAAACTTGATTGAGAAACCATCGTTTTTGGAAATGATACCTGACGTCGAAATGAATATTAATTTTAATATCCTGATTAATACAGCGAGTACGACAATAATATTCGAGGATGTTTTAAATCAGGGATTGGATAATGATATTAAATTGAGAAGCAGCGATCCAACATCTTGTGTTCTTTGTTGTTGCATCGCGGACATTAATATGGACAATCAAAATGAAATTTTGCTCGGCACGTACGAACGAGAAGTTCTTGTTTTCGCCAATCGAAACGGAAAATGGGAAATGACCAGTAAAAAATTATTTGACGCTGCTATTCATTCGATATGTTATACAGATTTGACTGGTGACGGCGTGAATGAACTCGTCGTTCTCACTCAAAGAAGTGTTCATATTTTACAGCACGATTCAAAAATTATTACCGAACTCTGGAGAGAACGTTATCAAGCCTTGATAGCCGATAAGCTAAAAGACTGAAAAAAAATTATTCTAAGACGTAAAGACAAAAATTTTACCATAAAACCTTTTCCATTTAATACTTTCAAATCTATTCTTTCGATTGTTAAAAATTCTATTTTTCTTCTGTTATAGATACCAGCGCCAGTATATTTAGCACAACCAGCGGCGACAAAAGCCCCGATAAGTGGAAACATGAGGGGAGATCAAAAATGGCCACCAGAAAGTGTCAAAGTTCAGACAGAGGCGGAAAATAAAGCTCGAATGGAACTAGCGAAAGGACCCGTTTGTAGACCGCGACGAGTAAGAAAAGATTACAGTGGATTTTTTGCTCAACATGCTCTAAACAGTACTTATCCTGGCTATAGAGCACCGCCAGGAACTCAGTACTTTACTCCCGGTTATCAAAACTAAACGAAAACTAGTTTCTAAGTCTTTTTTTTTAAATCTCGAGACTGCGATCATGTTGCAAAATATTTCTCTATTAAATCACAAAGAGAACACTAAACATTGCAACAAAGGAGTTAAAGAAAAATATTTTACAAATTTAAGAAAAACAAATTTTTCAGAAATTTACAATAAAATAATTAAAATTATAAATCTACAATTTTCTGATTAACAAAAGTTGAATCATTTTTCTCAACTCAAAGAAATTAATTTCTTTTCGCGAATTGCTTGGCTCGCCTTTTCTCTATTAATTAAAAAAAACAGTTAAGAACTAACGCTTCTGATCGCAAATTATTGCGTTTTGAGAAAGAGATGTCGAGAAAATAACAAAATATCGAAAAATTCGCTTCGAAGATAGTATACATTGCGAAATAAATATAAAACGAAACCAAAATACGAAAAAACAAAAAAAAGCTGTGAATGTAAATACGAAAAAAAGGGATATTAATATTTTTGTAAACGTTATTCAAATAGGTAACCAACTAATGATTATCCTTTATAAATGGTGTATTATATGAATAAACGTATAAAAAGTTTCTGCAAAACTTATTCATTTTTAAACTATACGTTACTTTTATTTATTAAATACATACGTCCAAAAATTAAATATTCTTTCCTCTTTCCTTCATCATGATAAATAGATTTGTATTTATATATTTAACAATCGTATTTGACTAAATTTTATAAAGAGAATAGTAAAAAGTAAAATATTTATCATCAGCAATAAATAATTAATAAATGCTTATCGGCAAAAATCTTTGTACAATATTCTTTTTACAATAAAGTCATAATTCTGCATATGTTCATTATTTAGACGTTTCCAAATGACGATTCCCTGAGTTTTCTTTTTCGTAATTAAAAAAAAATAGTTTAATTCGTTTATTAAAAAAGTTAGATTTCCGCATCTTAAATAAAAATAATTTCCCACCAATCTTTAAATCAGATTATTAATAATGTCAATATTTTTAAAAAAAATTTAGTTTCTTTTTAATATATTTTAGCTGTCAATTTCATTATTAATTCATTTTCAAAACGTTTTTTTATTAATTTCAAACTAAAGAAAAACCCTGCGTTTGCTGAATAGCTTGCAACAATTTATATCGTAATTTCTCTCGAGTTTGATATCGTGGCAAATCTAAAAGATTAAAACAAGTATGAGCAACAGGAAGGAATCTTTCGTCTGTCATTGGCTGAATCGTTATCTGGAATTTTAGTCTTAATTAAATAAAATTTGATCTAAATTTTAAATTTCATTAATTTTTTTAATTCTTTTTTAAAAATTAAATTCTTCCTTTCAAAATTAAATTTTTAAATTTCAGAGTTACCACAAAAATTTAATTTCTTTTTCCCCTACGTTCCAGACAAAATTTTGACTTTTTTCCTAATCCTAAAAAATATTCTGATTCACTCTAAAAATTATAATTCAAATTTCTCAGAACTATTTTTTTCAATTCTATGAATATATTTTAATTTTTTCGAGAAACTTCATTAAAAAATTAAAAATAATTGAATTGGTTCAAAGAAATTTATAAAAATTGGTAAGTAATTAAATTCCTGTGAAATTTTTATTAAAAGTTTGTTTAAATTAAAAATAATTGAAATGAGGAAAATTTTTGAAAATAATTGAAATTTTAACAAGAATTTTATTACATTTTTTGAAAATAATTGAATTTCGGAGAAGAATTTTATTATTTATAAAGATAATCAAAATTTTGAAAGGTTTTGTATTATAATTCTTGGCAATTTCATAATTTACGAGGCAAACAAAATAGACACCGAAACTTAGAATTTTCTTATAAATTCTAAAAATTTAATTTTTTTCAGTACTTTTAATAAAAATGCCTGACTTTTCCTTGATTTGACCTGAGGCAACCCTGAATTTATTTAGAATTGAAAGAGTTAATTAATTTCCAAAAATTAAATAGATATTAAAAAAAGAAAACTCACCCTTATAGCTTTCATTCCTTGAATGGGAATTCGATCGCTGCCGGTTAAAAAGAGTAGAAATTTCCTCTTCTCTTCTAGTGGCAATTCATGAAAAATTTTCCAAAAGGAAACAATAGTTGGATCGTTCTTCGTATAGCCTTCCTTATAGCTGGCATTTTTTTCCAGCTCTTCCCAATCGTAATTTTCATTACCAACAACTACAGCCATCAGTTCATGACTGTGAAATAATTGCAATACACGACCTCCACAAACTTTATGAAAACCTTTATTGAATTCCTCAAACTGATTCTCCACCGATTTATTCAAAATATAATCTATCATCAGATCCACGTATTGTTTCCTAAACATTAGAGCATACATTAGAAAAAAGAAACGATAATAGAAATAATAAGAAAAGATAATAGAAAATCCTAAACATTAAAACAAATATTACAAAAAAGAAAAGATAATATGAATAATAAAAAATGTAATAGAAATAAAAAGAAAAGATAATAGGAATAAATTTCTAAAAAGAAAAAGCTTACTTATTTTCTAGAGTAACAGGAACTTTACTTCCACCAGGTATTAATTCGTAAATCTTATTCTCCCCATAAACTTCTCTGGTAATTTCGAAATTGAGGCAAAAAACGTCTTCGAAATCACTTTCTGTATAATTTAAAATATCTTGGAAACTCCTGTATAAGAAAGAAGTAAAATTTCAAAAAAGAATATATAATTTTTTTTCATAAACTGATTTAATTCAATTTAAATTCGATAAAAATTAAATAAAATTGTAATTATTACTTGGCGCAAATTGGATCCATATCCTTGATGTCATTAATATCGACGGGCTCGTTTAAAAGCTTCTTGTAAAGTGCTAAAGGAAACGGCAAGTCGATTATGATGAAATTATAGATAACGAGGCCACAAAGTAATCCAATCAGAAAGTACATTTTTACATCCTCGAATGTATATTCATTGAACCAAATTGTTCTCGTTTCCTCATATTCCCTGAACATTCCATATTTTGGATCTAATATTTCCTTTAAAAGAAGCATGAAAAATTCTTTCTTTACGCCACCAGCATCTTCCGCCTCTTCTCCGTGAAATTTCACCTTTACAAAGGAGAAAAAAAAATGATTTAATAAATTATTTTATTAAAATCATCTAGTTAAGAAAATGTTTATTATTTTTTTTTTGAATTTTAATAAAATTCTTCTCAAGAATTTAATTATTTTTATAAATAATAAAATTCTTCATAAGAATTCAATTATTTTTATAAATAATAAAATTCTTCGCAGGAATTCAATTATTTTAATAAAATTTCTCGAAAGAATTCAATTATTTTAGGATCTTTAGTAAAATTCTGTACAAAAATTCAATTATTTCCATAAATAATACAATTCTTCACAGTAATTTAATCGTTTTAAATAGAATTTAAATGAAATTCCTCGAAAGAATTCAATTAGTTTTTAAAGTTTCAATAAATCTTTTATCAACAATCAATTATTTTTGTTAAAAATAAAATTTTTCTGTAGAATTCAATTATTTCCTTGAATAATAAATTTCTTTGCTAGAAATCAATTATTTTCATTTTTCATGAATAATAAAGTTCTTCGCTAGAATTCAATTATTTTAATAAAATTCTTCTCAAGAGTTCAATGATTTTCAAAAATAATTATTTTTAACAATTTTAATAAAACTCCTTGAAAATATTGAATTATTTTCATAAATTTTCTTGAAATTCTTTAAAAGAATTCAATTAATTTTAGTACAATTTTATTGTTAAATTCTTTGAAAGAATTTAATTAAAAGTTTTTAATAAAATTCTTCAAAACAGATTATTGCAATAAAACGATTATTAATAAAGATTATTAATAACTTGTAACTACATTCATAGAAAATAAAAATACTTACTCTAAGCGGTTTTTTTAAATCACTCGACTCATACTGAGATAATTCTCTCAATGTATCATCAACTAAATTTTCTCGGGAAACATTAAGCATGACAAATTGTTGAACATGACCAGAAGCTGAGAACATGTTTAAAAACATGCGCGTAATATTCCTAGTGGCTGCCTCATTCATTGCTGATTGCATCTAAAAAAAGAAACAATATTTTCAAACATTGTGTCGCAATATTTAAATTCAATTTAGTATTAAATTCATGAATAATAATTATACCTGAATAGCTTGATCCGTTTCAAGTAAAATAGTCTTCGCTTCCGCATCGAAGAGAAATGGATAATCACATAAATGTATTCTGTGCTGAAAAATATAAATTAAATTACTTGTAGAATAAAAGCAAATTTTAAAGTTATTAAAACGAAGAAACATTAAATTTACCATTTGACTATTGTCAGTTAACCATATGTAATAATCCAATTGAATATTTATAAGATTCACTAAATCTGGCAAATGGAATACATCGTACGACACGCGTTGACCTTCTGAATTCTGATTCAGATCGTAGAGAAATTTTAGCATTGTCAGTGAGAGCTTCAACATGTAGTCTTGAGGAATTGGCTATATCGTTTAATTTAAAAATAATTTGGTTATTTATTAAATACATTTTTTTTTGTTTTTTTTTTTATTTATTTTTTTATTTATTTACTCAAAATTAGTTAATATCTCAATTCTTACCTTGTTTTCAGTAATTTTTGTCTGTTTCAAAAAATTTTGCACCACTGCTTTATAGATTCGTACAAGTCGTTCAAAATAAATTGCCGGCGTACTTCTCCACCAGAGACCAACAATTTTCTTTGCCTCGTGTTTTAAATCAAGAACTGCTTTTGTAAACGGTTTATGAAGAGTATCACAATTCGTGGAATCCGCAAATCCATGATAAAGAGGTAATACAACATAAATTCTCAGTGTTTCAACGTCCGGTGGCGATGGTACCAGACATTTTAAAAGATCCAAAATACAACTCGAAATCTAGAAGAAAAGTAAATAAAAATAGAATCCCTAGTTTTATTTTAGTTTCAGTATTTTTTTAGTATTAAACTTTTGTACCAATTCTTTAATAGTAACGTTATCTAATTCGGAAATGATTCCAAATAATTTCTTCGCTTGATTAATATCAATGCCGTGATGTTTACTGGAACAACCATAGTGCGCATCGTTCGCAAGAAAAAAAGATGCATTGATGCAAGCTAAACTTCTGAACACAGTTTCTAGATACCTAAAAGAACAAAATTATTTAATGTAACAAAATTTCATTGACAATTTATTAAAATTTATTACAATTAATTTCAATTAATTGTAATAAATTTTAATAAATTGGCAATGAAATTTAAAACAAAATTGTTTCAAACTTACGTGAGAAGATCATGATCAACAGAAGCGCCAAATGGAACTTTTTGACAAGCAATTAATTGCTCTTCAGTCACGGTCAGAATTTGTGAGCTTGGTGCTAATATTCTGCAATCATCGGCCTCAATATTATCCTTTATTTGTGTGACCGTGGCAAAACAATGATTTCCACTGCCACCGCTAAAGATATGCTTGAGGGTACAATTTTTCGCGTAAGGACTAAGAGAAGGTTCAACTTTACTGCTATAAACATCTTGTGACGATAGCCATGGACCAAGAATAACTTGTGGTGTCGTGACACTTTTTGCAATACGAATTCCCAATTGTCCAGCACCACCTAAACCCCAAGCGTAAGCTCTCCCTCCTCTTGGAACGAAGGCAAGTGTATGTTTTCTACCACAAGTCACCTAGAAATGTAGATTACTTTTAAAAAAATTAATTTTTACAAATGATAATATAATTGTTTTTAAAAACCTACTTGAGTGACAACACTGCCCATTAGTTCAGCGACTTGTCGTGGTAAAATTTCGTTGCTATAACTCCCGTGACCGAGTTGACCGTACATTCCAGCGCCACATGTAAACACGCCACCGTCCTTGAAAATTAATACACAAAAATATTAATTAAAATATTAAAAAATTTAAAAAATTAATAAAAAATAAAACAGAAAACTTAGTTGAGAATTGAATAAAAATTCTAATCAGAAGTACTAGCATAAAGAAGAAATAAAAAATTCTCTTACCATTGTTAAAAACACTGAAAACTCTTCGCCGCATGATACGTATCGAACTTTTGAATTTCTTAGCGTTCTTAACTGTGATGGAAGAAGTCTTCCTTGAGTATCATTTAATCCTAGTTGACCAAAATTGTTCCTGCCCCAACCAAAAATTGCCCCTGTATTAAATAAATAAAATTATTTAATTAAACTCCGAGTCAAGTCAAAACAAAAATTTAATGAATGTGAAAATTCAGTTAAACTATACTCAGTATATTTGTATTAATTATTTTTTAATTTATAAAGAAAAGAATTTACCTGATTTTGATACGACTATACAATGATATCCACCGCAAGCTATGAAAGCAATCGGAATTCCAACTAGACTAGAAATTAATTTGGGTTTGAGCTCTTTTTTAATATTAGGACCAAGACCCAATTGGCCCTCCTTGTTCGAACCCCAGGAATATAATTCGCCATTATTTGTTAGAGCCAATGCATGCTTCAAACCACATGCTATTTGAACAACTACACTAGTTCCTAGAGCTTTTAATATTCGAGGGTAACCCTCGCCAATTGATGTCGAATCTAAACCTTTAAATTAATAAAATTGAAATATATAATTTTTTTTTATTCAATTGAATTAGTTTATTAACTAATTAACTTTAAATTTACTTGAAGTTTTCTTTAAATTCATTTCTTGAAATAAAGAAAAGAAAAATTGTAAAAACTATAAAATAGCAAACATACCTAATTGCCCATCTGTATTGCAACCCCAACAAAAAAGTTGACCCCATTCGTTCACCACCAAATTATGATAAGCTCCACATGCAACCTTTTTGAAAACGAAAGCATCTAATCCTGGTATTAATTCTGAAATAAAAAAAAAAGATTAATACATTTCAAAATTAAAAACAGTAATGAAATTCACCCGAAAAATGATTAGATACAAAAAAAATTCTATTTAATTTATTTACGAATTTCTTCAATTGTAAAATTATTTAAAATTATTATTTGTTACTGTAACTCCTTCAAAATTATTTTCCTCATTTCAATTGAATTTATATTTTCTAGAATTTTTAATTAAAATTCTTCTTTAAACCTGTAATGAGAGAAAAGAAAGAGAGAAATGACATTATAAATCTGTTAACACTTACCTAATCGTTTTTGCCAGTCTTTTTCGTGTCCCAACTGTCCAGAGTCATTATTTCCACATGAATAAATTTGTCCATCTCGAGTAATGACTATTGTGTAATTTTCACCACAGGCAACTTGGAAAAAAGACATTTTCAATTAGTTTTACGACAATGCTAATAGAAAAGAAATTAGTATTCAATAAAAAAAAAATTTAACAAAATTTACACAGAACAAAAGAAAATAAGAGAGAAAAAAATACATAAAATTAAATAATAATGAGACTTTGTCATTTACTTTGTTCGACTTCTGGTGCTTTGATAAAATCAACTGCTCGTGGTGAAAGAATATTTTCTTCTTCAATTCCACCGAGTCCAAGTTCTCCATGTACGGTACTTCCCCAACAAAACATCTCTTTATGTAAATTTGTTGGCGTTATTTTCAAATCAAAATCACTGTCCAAACGACGTTTTTTCGACCAGCTTGCCTGTATGCAATTTTTATTAAATAAATATTTTTCTACACAAAAATTATTTTCTTGCAAACACTTTCTCTAAATTCACTACTGTTAGTGCAATGAAAAGTATAGACAAAAGAAAATAATTTGTATGAGAGAAACTAAATAAAAACCAAAGCATGATGAATAATAATAAAGAAATGTCATTTACTGTGTATTATTATTATTATTATTATTTGACATAATAATATATTACAAAATATTGATGAGTCAAGAAAAAAAGTATCATTCTCACAGGACACAAACATGCTTATACAAAAATGATGGATGAAAGAGAATTTTTTTTTTCCTAAACATGATTGAAAGCAATAATTAAAAGGTATTTCTAAAAATATTTACAAGCAATAAATTGCAAATTACAAGATATTTGTAACTAACCATGTTGATTTTGTTGTTTGCATAGTTCTATAAGGCAAACTCTTCAAGAAATTCAGGTGATATAATGTTTTTTAAAGCACATAGTTAATCCTAGAAACATTTTCAAGTTTATGAAAAATTATATTTAATATTTTAGAACAGATTCCTTTCTCATAACAATAAAATTTTAACAGTATTGCAATTAATAATAATTTAGTAATTAAAATTTCGAAAACTAAATTTTTGATTTTGACACACTTTATAACCTCATATTAAAAATTGGATTCGTAAAAACAATTATAATTATTGAAAATCAAACGTTTGTTTTTTTAATAAAAATAGTGTTTTAAATATGTAAAAACAATACGTTTGTTATTCAAATTTGATTTTTAATTTTCAATTTTGCAAATCTATATAGAAAGAAAGAAGGTTAAAAATAAAAATATTTCAAGATTATTATAATAGCCACATAATTCTTTCTGAATGGAAATTGTAAAATTGTAAATAATACTCAAAATATTTGTAAATAAATGACTAACAATATGCTACTAGAATAACAATTGAAAGTAGCTGAATCATTTTCGAATTTATCTTTCATATTTTTATTCATTTTTACTACATTATCTATATACGTCTTAACGTCTATAAGCATCTAGAATATAAATTATATTATAGAAATATCATAACAATAAAAAAGAAATCATAATATAATAAATCTTACCTGGTGCTAAAAATATATGTTAATTTAATTACAACACTGTTATGATATTACTTTAACTTGGAAATATTATACACAAAAGGGAATTGTTCGTTAATTTCTTTATAAACGTTTTCGAAAACTTGAAATAATAATAATAATTTAAAAGAAATGTAAAATAAAAATGCAATGATAAGTTTTTGGTTATGTTGTTTCAGCACAATATACAATGTTCCAGCAGGTATTATTATTTAGAAAAAAACAAGCCGTAAGCTTTCATTCAATAAAACTCCATACCTGATTGTGAAGCAAGGAAACTATTCGTACTTACATTTTCATAAATTAAATTAATTATTAGTAAATAATAAAGCGAAAGATAATAAAATTTATGTCAAATTAATGGACAATGACATACTATTCAGGGTTGGGAAGGTATAACAATTTTACAGGGTGTAAAATTGTATATCGCGGTGAAAAGCCGTAAATATACGTAGTAAATTCGTATAATGTGGTATTTTACGTATGAGACTGTATTCTTTTAACGTATTTTACATTAGAATTTAAAGTTTTTCTTAACTACACAACCTTGTATATGTAAACAATCGCTCGTTGTCCCCATTGTTTATATTCTAGTTGTTTATGTTTATTTTTATGTTTCTATTATTATAAGACAATTTAAAAATATCCGGAATTAATGTTAACGTATGTATAAAAAAATTTATTAAATATTAATCTTGTACTACTTTTAATTATATAACTAAATATTATTCTTTTCTTCTTGTTTACAATAGAATTACTATACTTACAAATAGAATGTGTTCTTTTTAATTTAAAGTTTATTTAAAGTCACAATAATATTGATTTATATTAAAAATTTGTAAATTAATATTAATGTCTGTACAATTAATTGTATTATATTATATCTTAAATAATTACAAGAAAAATAAATAAAATTGTAAAGGTTATGTTTACTTTTGTTTCTTTGAATTTTTTACTAAAATAATGTATTTCTTTTAATGATTTTAATTTAAAATTTCGAAAGTAATTGAATTCTAGAAAGAATTTCTTTCAAGTTTTTTAAATTATCGCGTTTGTTAATAATTGTAATAAATAATTTTATTATTAAAGGTTATACAAATTATTGATGGAAAATTAAATTCTTTTGAACAATTTCTTTGAATTTTTTTTAAATAATAGAGTTCTTAATTTTAATTGAAAATGTTGAAAAAGAATTCAATTCCATATAAAGATTTCCTTTCAAGTTTTTAAAAATATCGTGTTTCTTAATAATTATAATTAATGATTTTATTATTAAATGCTATAAAAATTATCGATGGAAAATTAAATTCTTTTGAATAATTTCTTTGCTCTGTTTGAAAAGAATAGTTTTTTAATAATTTTAACTGAAAAATTCGAAAATAATTAAAATTTAGGAAGAATTTCTTTCAACTTTTTAAAACAATATTGTGTTTGTTATTAATTGTAAATAAAAATTTTATTATTTAATTTTAACAAATTTTTTTGGAAATAATTGAATTCTTTTAAGGAATTAAATAAAAATTGTACTGAAAATAATTGAATTTCTCCGAAGATTTTTTATTATTTGTGAAAATAATTGAATTTTTCCGAAGAATTTTAGTTTTTATGAAAATAATTGAATTCTTCCGAAGAATTTTATTTTTTTTGGGAAAATAATTGAATTCTTTAGAGAAATTTAAATACAATTTTTTAAAATAATGAAATTCTTTCCTGGAATTTATTTAAAATTGTATTGAAAATAATTGAATTCTTTCAAAGAATTTTAGTTTTTTTTAAAATAATTGAATTCTTCCGAAGTATTTTAGTTTTTTGAAAAATAATTGAATTCTTTAGAAAAATTTTAATACAATTTTTAAAATAATGAAATCCTTTCGAGGAATTTAATTGAAATTGTATTGGAAATAATTGAATTCTCGCGAAGAATTTAATTATTTATGAGAATAATTGAATTTTTCCGAAGAATTTTAGTTTTTTGGAAAATAATTGAATTTTTACGAAGAATTGTAGTCAAATTTTTGAAAATAATAAACAATAATAAATAATCATGTTCTTAATAAGTGGATTTTTTAAATTTTGAATCTTAAATTATTAGAAAAAAATTATAAATAATTATAAATTTGAATATATTTTTTCAGATCATGTTTAAACTTCAATTAATGACAGCAGATAATTACAAAAAAGAGGGTTTTAAATACCAAGTCAACTACGCTTTTCATCAAACCCAATTTGGCAAAAGTCTCATAGGAATTTTAGATAATAAAGAAAAATCAATTTGCCATTTATCTTTTGTCAATAAAAGTGAAACAACATCATTAGAATCTCTCAAAAAGCAGTGGCCAAAAAATGAATTACTTGAAAATCTTAAAGAGACCACTAAATACATAGAAATAATTTTTTCCGAAAATTTCAAAGGATTAGAAGAAAATAACGAAAATGATGAAGATTCAAATTTCGAAGATGTTATTAACATTATTTTGAAAGGAACAGAGTTTCAAATAAAAGTTTGGACACAATTAATTGAAATACCATGTGGCTCTACAACGACTTACGAAAAAGTTGCTCAAGCTATCGAAAATCCAAAAGCAGTTCGTGCAGTGGCAAATGCAATTGCCGGCAATTTAGTTGCATACTTAATTCCTTGTCATCGTGTTATGAGTAAAAATGGTGCTAATAAATACGCATTCGGAGTTGAATGTAAACTTAAAATTTTAAATTACGAAAAGGAGATAACAAATTGAAACTATTATTGAAAAATACCTACCTACTTTTACATTCTCATTTTTTGTATATATAAAGGATTTAAAGAAAAATATATTTATTATCAATAGTATATTTTTTTACTTGAAAAATCGATAATATATAATAAAATACACAACTGCACACTTATACACTGAGTATGTAATTTTAAAAAATATAATGTGTACAAATTGTATAAAGTGTGCTTTATTTTCATACTCTGTAAAAAATATGCAGCTCTTTCTTTTCTTGCGTAAAAAAGTACACATTCAAAAAATGTTTAATTTCGTGGCGATTTCAGACATGTTTCAAAAAATTATTACATTGTTTTCAATAAATAGGAACAGTTTTTAAAAATATATATATATTTTTTTTGCTTATCAATTTTATTTAACGAAACAGTTTAAAATCGTCACAATTCATTTATACAGTTATATTAAAGTTTTTCTATGACTTTAAAACGACGATCTTTTCTTTTCTTTCTGTTTAATGTATTATAAGTACGAGGCATTACTACTTGGTAGTAAAACGGCATTGAACAGATTAAAATATTTTCTCTTGTTCCTTTGAAGCCGTCGAATCACATTAAATTGTGGAGTTTACAATTGCAATTCAAAATTCAATCACTCCTTTCTTTTATTATTATTTCTAAGTCACAAGCGCTCTTTTACATGGAAGTTTCTTAAGAATTTTAATTCTATACACTATAGTCTATTTAAATATACAAATATTTACATTTCAACTATACACAAAGAAAAACTAAAATATAAAGCGTTAATTAAATATTCGATGGACATTCCAATAAAAAAGTTTTTCACATTTTATATCCAATTATTCATTTCTTTTTGGCGTCTAGAATTAACTTAGAAAACATTGAGGTATTGAAAATCAGCCTTGAAACTTATATCGTGTGGCAGTTGATCGTTTCTGATCTTTTCTTTTCTTTTAAACAATTTTAATAATAAAAATACTTTACGGTGGATTTAAAAGTTAAATAAAAACGATACAAAAAAAATAATATCGCATTAAAATTCAATGTAAAACGGAATGATCCACCAATTCCTGATTTTCAGGAAATTCAATTAAAAATGTACAAATTCGATTTGTATGTTATTTGAAACTTTTTGGTAGTAAACTGTGTTAAAATAAAGAAAATTTTCTACTATTATGTTTGATGTTACGAACTTTTTTTTCAACGTATGTAATCATTTTCTTTTTTTATAAACCTATTAATGTACAACGATATTAATTTACTATCACGAGTTAGAAATTCGCGACCTAAAATTTTCTTTTCGGTAATTTGATTTATAAAAAATATACAATATTAAATTATTGCTATTCGATTGTGTTCGCGATTTCTAGAATGCTTTTTTTTCTTTTTAAAATCGCTTCTTTTAATTCCCTTTTTTTCGACGTTTCACAAACAAAAAATTATTGGACTATGACTATTTTCTTAAAAAAGGGATTTTTCTTTTTTCTTTCACTTTTTTTAAAAAAAAAAGCTAAACTTGAATTTCTTTTTCAGTTTCTTTGATGAAAACAAAGAAATGAATTTTAAAGGCTGGAAGTCAATGTAATGGATAATGTGAAAAGAATTATTAATACTGGCAAGCTCGAAGAATATTTTGTACTTCTCGCAGATGAAGAAATTACTCGTGGAGGCATTCTAGTTGGCCCTAATAAACAATAAAAATAGTCCCAATATAATCATTTATACATAATTTTAAATAATGTAGTAATCTAAGTAATCAATTGTGTCTACATCATTACCTTGACTTCGCGGTCGGTATGTTGTAGAATGACGTATTGATGGGACTTTTATGGTTGGTCTCATTGGCGTTGGAGCAGGACTTGGTGAATTTCCATAGCATTGTCCTGAAAAATTTTTATAAATAAATTGTGAAAAAAGAACGATTTTTTTTTCCAAAAAGAATTAAAATTAAAGTCTAAATTTAAAAATCAAAACGTTTTTTTTAAATATTATTTTCATTGGACGAATCTTTAGTAAATAAATAAAATCTAATAATTCTGTACTTTAATTCGTTTTTTACCTTTTTTGTAGAGTCTCATTCCTTGCTCCTTGGGGATGATATTACGAATGCAATGATCTCCAGCTTCCTTGATGTAAATCTCCTCATCGTTAATTATTAAACCGACGAAACATTCTTTTGTTTTCGTATCATTTCTCATTGTGTACGTGTACATTACTCCATTTTCTTCCCATTGTCCAAGGCACAAGTAGGAACGTTCTAAAATAAACGATTTTTTTTAAGATTTTTATTTCTCAGTAAAAATTTGCTTTTTTTTAAAATTGATTCTTTAAGAACATACCTTCGTATAATTCTCCGGTATTGCAATCGCTAACTTTAAAATACATAATCTCTCTTGTTTGACAATTACTACTTAATTCTGCACACATTCCTGGAATGTCGACGATTTCTCCTGTATATTGACCAGTAATTGGACACGGAGATTCTGCTGTGCGTTCGATACCTGCAAAAAATAATAAAAATTAATATTTCCGCCAATACTAATTTATAACAATAAAATACTAATTTATAGTGAGTAAAAATTTATTAACAGTTTAAAAAATTATTAATAGTTAAAAAAATTAGTAATGAAACATTAGTAACAGATTCAAAATTTATTTACACATTGAAAATTTTTTTCTATAGAAAAAAAATTTTCTTTTCAACTCATTTTCATATTCAAAAAATTTAATTACTTTCAAATAATATTTGTTACTCACGAGCTTGTGTCATCCAAACTGGTTTATCGAAATTCGGATTGTCACATAAATTCGGTTGATAAATTGGACTCGAGAGCAAACCTGTTTTAATGAATTAAATTTTTATTAATTTCAAATATTCTCTATAAAATATCCCAATTATATTATTTGTAAAGAGAGAAAATAAAATTTATCAAAAATCTTACCAGTTGCGAATTCCATTACATTTTCACTTCTTTGCCTCATCAGCATACACGCGAAGGCTTCTCGCTCGCTTTAAAAGAAATAATACGAAATTTAATTAAATACTTGAAATAAATTAATAAACAAAAATTTAAATAATTTTTTCTTCCTCATATGAGGAAGCTTTGTATTAATTAATTAATTAACAATTATAATTACCAATGATCTTTGGAGTAAACGACATATCGTCCAGTGTCGTGATTAGAATCCACAGCAATAAAAGTAAAACTATTGTATCCGTTTCGATCGATAAAAGTCATTGTTCCATCAATCACCAATGATTCTTCCCATTCTCCTTGCGCCCATTTTGGAAATCTGTAAAAGAGTAGAAATTTTTTTAAAATTTTGTCATTGATAAGATTAGTTTAATAAAATAGATGATAACATAAATATAAATTAATAAAAAATAAATAAATAAAGAGAAAATAAATAAATAAACTTACGAAGATAAATGTGTTTTGACGTAAGTTGGCGTTGTTTTTTGATTTGTTGCTTTTGTCAGTACTAAATTCTCATAGCCCATTGTTGCATTCATGAGATTTTGCGTGCAACTGGAATCGCTGCTAAAGGCCAGATAAGTCTTTCCTTTTTTATTATCCACGTAAAATAGCTGTAAACCAAAAAAAGGTTATTAAAATCAAATCAAATTTTTAATTTTTAATAATAATAACTGTAGTTTGTATTAAACTTACTCCGCAACGATACTGAGGTCTAAAACCACCGCCTTCTTTTGTGTCTTCTAAAGCAATGTACCGTGCTCCATTTGGTCCTTCCCAGCTTCCTAAGCAATTGAATGTGATATCTGTAAAAGAAGTCAGCAAGGTATTTAATTTATAATTTTTATTATTCTTCAGAAAAATTCAATTACTTTTTTAAATATTAAAATCTTTGCAAAAATTTAATTTTTTTCAATATAATTTCACGAAAGAATTCAATTATTTTCTAAACTTTTAATAAATCCTTCTAAACAATTCAATAACTTTTTTAAATAGTAAAATCTTTGCAAAAATTCAATTATTTTCAATAAAATTCCACGAAAGAACTTAATTTTTTTCTTAATTTGTTATAAAATTTTTCAAAAGAATTCAATTATTTTCTACAATTTTAATAAATTCTTCAAATAATTTCAATTATTTTTATAAATAGTAAAATTCTTTGCAGAAATTCAATTCTTTTCAAAACAATTTTATTAGAATTCCTCGAAAGAATTTAATTATTTTCAAATATTTACATGAAATTAATTTATTTCTAAAAAGAAAAAATAATTAAATTTAAACATTGACTTAGTTAAGAATGAATTTTTCTTAATATACATAAAATAATGTTTTTTAGTAAAAAAATACAAATTAATAGTAGGAAAATATCGTCGTTCATTTTCAACGAAAATATTATAACATGAAGATAAATCTTACCGAAACTGTCGAAGGAACAACGTTTGAATTGTAAATGAATCACGGAACCAACTGGACAAGTGTCAAAATCCGAGGAATACGAATTGCATTCAAATTTCTCCTCCGTTCCTTCATTAATATCGTATCTAAAATGATATCGTCCCGCAATTGGACAATACTCGTAAGTAATTGGAGCTCCTCCAATATCCTTTGTACCTGCACAAAAAGAAAGATAAAAAATTAAATATTTACAGAGAAAAAATAGAAAAATTAAATACTTATTATTTATTCAAAATTATCCTATTTTACATCTCGAAAAATCTCGATTTTAACTTTTACGTGAAATATTTTTTAAAATCAAAATAATTTTATGGAAATAATTTTCTTTTTCTTTTTGGAATAAATTAAATGAGATTTAACATGAAGATATGTATACAATTCTTGGAATTAAAATCTCAATTTTTTTTTCCCTAACAACATAATCGAAATTTTATGATTTCCTTTTTATGTATTTTTTTTATATATTATGTTGAAATTTCTTCTAGAAAAGAAGAATTTTTATTCCATAAAAAATCCCTCGAGATTTCAAGAATTGAATTTCTAAACAATGATCATTGTTATCTGATGGAACGTGATGGGATAAAATCGTTCGCGTACGTGACTATAAATAAAAAATATAATGTAATACACAAAAGTTTCTCCGCAGAGAATGGAAATATTAATATAGCACAGTCACTAGATTCACGTGTACAGGTAAATCATCATAATATTTAATGGACACAGTGTAAGAAGACGTGGTTGAGGATATACAATGGACCCGAACCACCCCCGTTAAAAAACAGGAAGTAGATGAAATACCACACGACTATTCCGCGTTAAGGGTGTGCGCAATAGCGAAACCTTTTCCTTCCTTCTCTTTTTATCATGGACAAATATTCGAAAAATTGTAGATCACTTTTTTCTGTTTTTTTTTTTTTTTGTGAAAAAAGGCAAATTTAAATTGTTTAAATTGTGAAATTATAATTACAGGCCTCGGACTTAATTTAGCGATAAAAAATAGTACCAAAATCGTAATAAAATGTTTGTAATCAATAATAAACAAAATAAAGAAAACTGAAAATTTAAGGATCAAACACTGACACCTTTTCACATTTTTAATTCTAAATTTTTCTGAAATTCTATTATTTTTCGAATTTATTTCCAAATCAATTCTTACTAGAAAATTCTTTGAGAATTCAATTAATTAAATTACAAAAATGAATATTTAATGATTTTTAAAATTAAATTTTCATAAAGAATATTTTATAAAATTTTTCGAAAATTATTGAATCTATTTGAATTTGTGAAAATAATTGAATAATAAATTACAGAATTTATGAATATTTTACAGAATATGAATATTCATTTTTTTATTCAACTATTAGCGGATTTAAATTAGTGTAAATAGAAATAATTCTTTTTCTATAAAGAAATTTTAACAAAATTGTATCAGTCATAATCAGAGATTCAATTTTATTTCATTTTGACAATTAATAATAAATGAATTTCAGTTTTCCACTTTAATTTCACTTTAATTTGTAATATTTTTATGATCCTCAATTTTTTTTTTAGATATTTCCTTAGTTTTCTAATTAATTTCTTTTCTAAATAAATTGATATTTAAAATCTTGATTAAAATAATAATTCTACTAGTGGCTTTTATTTAACGTAACTTATTTTTTAAAAATAGTTGCTAAATAGTTGTATAAGGTGAAAAGAATGTGAAAAAGTATGAAATAGTCGCGTGAGTCTGAGACCTGCGTAATTTCACATCTATTCCCATTCGAAATATAGATAAAGAAGTAAATTTCAAGATCAACAATTTTCAATGCGGTAAAAATGTTGAGTGTCTCAGCATCTTTTTGATTCTGCAGTACAAATTGCAATTTCTAAAGTTGTCGCGTGGAATGTCACTCCTTGCTGACTATGAGGTTTTGTCGCGCGCCGCGCCGAGTAAACGATTTGGTCTGGTCACGGAGTTGTCGGTTGCAAGTCAGGTAAACCAGTAGGGTATCAGGTAGGTAGAATTTCTTCTTTGTCTTCTTTTTCCTCTATTACTTCCGTTCCTTTTTCCCCCCTCTTCAACGCTTGGCTGGGTTCCATTGATCAAAGAAGGTCACTGCTCGTTATTGGAATTTATGAATCTTCTGAATTGCTCTCTCTCACCAGTGACTGGTCCTTGTTTGCAGACTTCAAAAACGAAACCTCAAATCCCTGGACATGAATGAACTTCCAAAAAGGGTAGACTTTCCAGAGGTGCGCAGCTGGTCAGTTTCTATTAGCTTCAAAAAAAGAAAAAAAAGTTTTTTTTTTTCGAAAAAACGACGAAACATAAAGGGACCTATTGAAAAAAAATTATTTTCCTTCCGGTTTATAGAAAACGACATTCATTGAGAATTTCTCTAAATTACAATAATGAAAATACGCATTTTTTTACACGGTTGTCGCACAAAAAAATAATTTTCTTTTTCCCTAATTTCCAGACAGAGTTTTGATTTTTTCCCTGACCTTAAAGAATATTCTGATTCACTCTAAAATTAATAGATACTCAATTTTAATAAAATCCTTCGCAAGAATTCAATTATTTTTACTAGTAATCAAATTTGTCACATGAATTCAATTATTTTAAAAAATGTAATAAATTCAATTCTTTTCCAGTACTTTAATAAAAATCCCTGACTTTTCCCTGATATCCCTGACCTGTGGCAACCCTGTTTTAAATAAAATCAAAGATTTAATATAATTTTTTTTTTAAATAAAAATCGAAATCTGTGTTTATGGTGAGATAGTGGATAGAGATTCCTTTGGTCCAATGCCTTCAACTCGAGGACGATTATAAACCGAAGACTCATAACCACTCCCACGCCAAGGATCGTTCTGGATGCAAAAAAAAAAAGATTAGAAAGAATCAGAAGATACAGGCGGCGCGAAGAATGAACAGAATACGAATATCCTGGATGAGAAACTCCATCTTCGCCAGGAGAGAATTCCCTGGGTGGGCTACCATCTCAGGATCGTACTTCAAAACGCCATTTCCTTATACCCTCAAGTGTCAAGGAAGAATTATTACATGCTAGCCTCTCAACACGGTTAAATAAAAAATAAATAATAATAAGCAAAGATTTAAAAGGTAGTTCTTGAAAACTATTTTCTTTGTTGATTTACCAACTAGGCGAAATAATTAATACCGTTCGCTAACAATACTAATTTGAGAGCTGTCTATATTCTCGAAAGAACAAAGTAAGATTTACACACTTGTCGAAGTAAAAGAAACACAATATCGATGTCCTTCAATTTTTTTTTCTTCAATAAAATTGCCTTTTCTTTTTCTTTTTCTTTATAAATTTATTCTTTTTACAACTCCTCTGAACCGAGAAAGATTCGTCACGCCACTATGAACCGAAACGACTTCAAAAGGATGACAAAAAAAAATTTATTCTAATTTTTGCAAAAGTTTCCAAAGACAATTAGAATATATAAATTACAATTATTGACGAAAAATGTTATTTCTTTTTCTACTCCATAAAAAAAATGGAAAAAATACAAAAAAAAAAATAATGAGAATGATGAAACATTTTAAATGATTATATCCCCATTGAATCGAAACATGATAAAGTTAACTTAGCAGCTGAGAAACTTGAGAATCACTAACCATAAAGCGATGACTATATTTCTGACGAGTGGACCGTGTCGAAACTCGTCTGAAGGTTTCAATTTATCTCCCAGATTGATACAAAATAAATCTTCAAGTTTTACAAAATTTAAATTCAATATTTGTATTTGTATAATTCGTCATTAATTTTCTATCTATCTATCTTCGATCTATCACAATATTCCGAATGTCTGTTCGCAGTTTTCATTTGCTTTGTATTTTCCTACTTTTTTTTTGATAATTTTTCTTTTTAAGTATTGTTTTAAAAATTCAAGTATTGTAATACTATTTTTTGGAAGAAAAAGTTTTTATTTTAACTTTCATTAATTTTGCATTAATAGGTAAATTTTTTTTAATTTTAAAAGAAAACAATTTTCTTAAAAACATTTTATAATTTCTGAAAATTTTATAATTTTAAACCTAAATAAATTTCACAATTGCGTAGAATTTTATTAAAATTTTTGACAATAATGAAATTCTTTCGAGGATGTTTATTAACATTTTTTAAAAAATTATCCAATTCAATTCGAGAAATTCAATTAAAATTATACTGAAAATAATTGAATTCTAATAAAGAATTTTATTAAAATTTTTAGAAAATAAAATTTCTTTAACAACTATTATTAAAATTTTCGTAATCAATTGAATTATTTCCAGAAATTTTTTTAAAAATTGTATTAAAAATAATCAAATTTTTGCAAAAAATTTGATTATGTATTTAAACATAATTTAATGTTTTCATAGAATTTAAAAAAATTTTGAAAATATTTAAATGGTCTCGAAAAATTTTATTAAAATTACATTGCAAATAATTGAATTCCTCTACATAATTTTAATATAGAAAATAATTGAATTCTTGGTAGGAATTTTATTATTTATGAAAATAATTGAATTCTTGAGACGAATTTTATTATTTATATAAGTAATTGAATTCTTGCGAAGAATTTTACTAGTAGTAAAAATAATTGAATTTTTGCTAAGAATTTTAATCAAATTTTAGAAAATAATTGAATTATTGCGACGAATTTTTTTATTAAATGAAAATAATTAATTACTTTCGAAGAATTTTATTAAGTATGAAAATAATTGAATTCTTCCACAGAATTAAAAAATTTTTTGAAATTAATTCAATTGTTTCGAAAAATTTTAGTAAAATTATATTGATTAAAATATTGAATTCGTGAGAATGATTTGATTAGAATAATTGAATTCCAGAGAAGAATTTTATCATTTGTAAAACTAAATTGTATCGTTGCTGAGAATTAAAATTTATAAAAATAATTGAATTCATGAGAAGGATTTAATTATATTAATTGACTTTTAGCTATGAATTTTCTTATTAAAAAAAATAATTGAATTTTTGCGTTGAATTTTATTAATTATAAAAATAATAGAATCTTTCCGAAGAATTTTATAATTTATGAAAATAATTGAAATGTTGCGAGAGATTGTTCTATTTATGTAAATAATTGATTTCTTACGAAGAATTTTATCAAAATTTTTTTTAATAAAATTGAATTTTTCCTGAGAATTTAATTATTTATAAAAATAATTGAATTGTTGAGAAGAATTTAATTATATTAATTCACTTTTAGTGATGAATTGTCTTATTTATAAAAATAATTGAATAGTTGAGAAGTATTTAATTATATTAATTGACTTCTAGTGATGAATTTTCTTATTAATAAAAATAATTGAATAATTCTTTCTACGAATTTCATTATTTATGAAAATAATTAAAACCTTGGGAAAAATTATATTAATTATGCGAAAATAATTGCATTTTTACGAAGAATTTTAACATTTATAAAAGTAATTTATTTCTCGAGAAGAATTTTATTATTTATATGAAAAAAATTGAAATCTTGCTCCAAATTTTTTATTTGTGTAAATAATTGATTTCTTTCGAAGAATTTTATCAAAATTTTTAAAAATAATTGAATTCCTGCGAAGAATTTTATTTGTTATAAAAATAATTGAATTCTTGTCACGAATTTTATTAGTTATTAAAATATTGGAATCCCTGCGACTAATTTTTATTTATTATTATTATTTTTGAAAATAATTGAATTTATTAGATCATTAGATGAATTTTATTAAAAAATTTTGAAAATACTAAATAATAATAATTAATTAGTGAATAAATGAATTTTTTTTTGCTATTTTACTGATAATAATAATTACATTTCGCTCACGTTACGTTTAATTTAAAGAAAAGAAAATAGTTTTTAAACGAAAATGAAAAATTAAATAAAAAAAACAATTTCAGTGAGTAATTACTAATTGTCACCGCGCAGGAATATTCTGAAGATAATGACAAAATAGATAAGAATCGTGTTCTCTTTTTTCTTTTTTTTTTCCTTTTGATGAATCAAGGTCATCTTTGAATTCAATGTCGACAACCCTTGAGAATATGCTGGGAGCTAGTTTAATTATGAGGTCGTCTATAATATAGCGTGTGTGCGCCGATTATGTAAATCTGTGATCGCATAAAAGAATTTTAATTGATGCATTCTTGAGAAAGACAACGCAATAAAAGCGCGTGCATGTGCACTCTCTAGTTTACACATTCATATATAAATGTGTGTTTTGAGTAAAGTATTAAAAATAACGTTCGCTGTATCCGCCCTCCTACACACATTGTTCACCTACGTCGTTACGCAAGCTTCATTACTTCCCTTCAGACTAATTAACGTTAATTAATAAGTTTATATACATTAATCCATTGCACATGGTTGATCGTTGTCGAATCAGCAAAATTTTCAATTTAAACAAGTGCAATTTATCATATCGAAGACAGGAAGTTGATTTCTAAAATATATCCGTTACAAGACAGGAATATCGCTGATTGTGAGTTTCTTTTTCCTCTTACAAATTTGTTTACTCATTTATTTATTTGATTTCGAAAATAAATATGTATCTGATATTTTCATTCATGAAATCAGCGCTTAGTCATCAATGAGAAAATGAAACCCGCTCTGTCAATGACCTCGATGATAAAATTTTACACAGTGTTCTCCTTTTATGCGAACAGGAAATTTTCATTAAAACAAGAAATTAAGACAAAGTTTGATGTATAATTTAAATTTGCGATAATAAATGTTACTTACGATAAAGAATTGAAGTTGCATTTAAAGTCCCACAGGATTCTATGGCAGCAATCTCGGACGTATAACACTTGTTTATATTCTCTGAGAATACTTCAACAACGTTGCGTGATCTTCTTTCAAGTCGGAAACATCTTATGCAGTCACTGTAACTGTAAGAAAATTAAAAAAATTAGTTTAGAATTTCGAAAAACACTTTATTACTTCCTCATGGAGGAAGGATTTTAAAATTCAAAAATAAATATTTCTGAATAGCGAAGAACACAAAAGAAATTGTTCAAAAAGAATAAGTAAAGATAAAGTTTCCAATGGAAATCTTTATTTTGTCCTTTGAAAATCTTTCTCAACTTGTTGAAAATTAAATATTTGTGTTAAAATAAAGGAGAGCAATTAAGAAACAACTGATTCGTATCTTAAGAGATATTCGTTTGAGAGAACCGCTACTGTGCATAAGAGACTATTAAAAGTAGAAAATACTGACAACCTTCTGCAAGTCTTGAATTTATGTACACAAGTGGCAAAGTATTAAACGGCCAACATCGTTATCCCTAGACTCATAATTTTCACTAGTAAGTCTGCAGTGTAGCAGCTGTAGACCGCGAGGAATGTTCCTCCAATGATGATACAGGAAGCCATTTTTATGACCATGTTTTAATACATCAAATTTACAAACTAATAATAAAGAAAAACCACCGTAATACCTTGCGACAATTTCCCAAGAGAAAAAAAAAATGTAAAAAAAAAATAATTTCTTATTAATGGTGAGAAAAATCAAAAATCTTAAAATGACAAGAAGAGTGAAATAAAAATTAAGAACAGAAGAGTTCCTCTTAGTTGTAAATTAAATAAACCTCTAAGCGATAAAGTACAAAGTCTTTTCGAAAGTTCATAGAAGATGCTGTTACATAGTTTGCAAAAGGAGCAAATATATAACTTGAAGGAGTGGTGAACGGATATGCCACGCATTTTTCAAAAAAGAAAGATTTGTAACTGTTTGAGATATATACAGGCTTCGCACTCGATAATTCATTTTAAAAAATTGCCAAAAAATAGAATGAAGATTGAAAAAAGTAATAAAACTTAGCAATCGAAAAATAAAATTTGATGAAAAAAAAAGATTTAGTAGATTCAGAAAAATTTTATTCAGTATAACTCTCACTTTTTCCTGATTTCCATAAAAAATATTCACTTTTTTTCTTATTCTGCTAATTTCAATTCTTAATTTTTCCCAATATTCAATTATTTTCTAAAATATTAACTTAAATTTCTTTCTAAATTAATTCTTGCTAGAAAATTCTTTGAGAATTCAATTACTTGAATAGAAAAATAAATAATTGATAGAATAATTGAAGATTTTGGAAAATTGAATTAACATAAAAGGAATTATTTCAAAATATTTGAAAATAATTAATTTCTTTCAAAGAATTTAAATAAAATTTGTTAAATTCCGAAAATAAATTTATTATTTATGAAAATAATTGAATTTTTACAAAGAATTATATTTATTTTTAGTTTAAATATTTGACTTCCTGAAGAAAAATTTTATTATGAAAATAATTGATTTTTTACAAAATTTTACAATGTTTTGTATAAATATTTTAAATCCTTAGGAAAAATTCTAGTATTTTTGAAAATAATTTAATCTTTTGGAGGAAACTTTTATTAAAAATTTTGAAAATTATTGAATTGTTCCGAAAAATTTAATTAAAATTGTATTAAAAATTTAAAAGCAATTGAATTCATATTATAAACAAATTTAATCAAAATTATTAAAATAAATTATTAAAATTTAAATATTAAAATTTAATTAAAATTTCTTTTGGGAAATTCTGTCAAAATTTTTCTAAATTCCTCTTTCCAGAAAATATAATAAAATACTAGATATTAAAAATAATTGAATTCCTGGAAAGAATTCTATTATTTGTGCTAATAATTGAATTTCCAAAAATTACAACTGAAATTCTCCCAAAAATTAATTATTCCCTTCTTTTTAATTTTTAAATAAAATTATACAAAAATTTAATAACTTTTTAGAAAAATATTAAATTAATAATTTTTTTAAATAAACAGTTAAATATTATTACACTTTAACAACAATTAAAATCCATACTTGACGATTTAAATATTCAATTATTATTTAAATTTTTAACTGAAATTCATTTTTAAATCGATTCTTCTAAAAAAGTTCTACGAAAATACAATTATTTCTATACATTTTAAAATATAATTAAATTTTTCGGAAAATTTATTTGAAATTGTATAAAAAATAATTAAAATCCTGCAAAGAATTTTATAATTTATGAAAATAATTAATTCTTGCAACGAATTTTAATAATTTTTTTTAAATAATTGAATTCCTTCGAAGAATATTTTTATTTGTGAAAATAATTGAATGCTTGCAGAGAATTATTTATTTACTTCTTTCTTAATAATCGAATTTTTGTGAAAACTTTTACATTACAAATTTTGAAAATAATAAAAAATATATATGAATTCTTATAAAAAAATTTTATCAAAATCATTAAAAATAATTGACGTCTTTTGGAGAATTTGACACAAATTTTTTTAAATAATTAATTTCTTTCAAAAGAATTTTATGAAAATTATATTTCAAATAATTGAATTTTTTTGAAATTATTATTATTTATGAAAATAATTAAATTTTTGCTAAGAATTTCATTATTTGTGGAAATAATTATTGAATTCTTGCGAAGAATTTCATTATTTGTGAAAATAATTGAATTCTTGCGAAGAATTTCATTATTTATGAAAATAATTGAATTCTTGCGAAAAATAATCTTAAAATTTTTGGAAAGAATTGAATCGCTTAAAAGAATTTTATTAAAACTTTTGAGAATCAATTTTTTTATTTTCACTGTTAGCGAATTTAAAGTATAGTGAAAATTACCCCCCCCCCCCCAAAAAAAAAGAAAAAAGTATCTTTCAGTGTCAAAAATCTAAGAAAATTATCCAAATGATAGCAAATCGCAAAAAAGTAGTAAATAGTAGGTTTTAGTAGACAAGTTGCGAAGCCTGAAGATATATCTACAAGGTAAGAACAGGTAAGGTTCTCAAAAAGAAGTTGAAAAAAGCTACAAACTATTTTTAATAAAAGAAACGTATCCTATGTATAGTTGACGTAAACGAGAAAATAAACGAAGAAATAATTTAAATTAAAAATAAAATATATATCTAGATATAACTTAAATCACCTCGTGAGGATGAGGGTAAAAGGACGAAAGTGAAGAAGCTACAAGAGCTAATTTGAATTGATGAGCTCCCTGATCAGCCTAATGAATTCCTGTCATTATCATATGGTTGAAATTATCATACAACATTGGTACAAATAAACATCTCGAGAATTAACCATCGAATTAAAATGATCTATAGCTTCCCATTAGTCTGCAAAATATTAAAACGATTTTGAATTGCAAATCAGTTTGGAAATTGTTTTTGCATGAAGCTACGCTAAACAAAAATTGTAATTGAAGAAAAAAAAGCTACACAGAAATTTCTTTCGATTTGCGTAGCAAGAAAATTATTTATCGATTTTGTTTGTAAATTTTATTATAAGAGATAAGACTTTCTGAACGCATTAAATGAGAGTTAATACTACAGGTTTTTCTTTTATTTATTTATTTATTATAAGAAGAGAGTTAAGAAAAAATATTTAATGAATCGCGTGACTCGAATGTATTGTAATAAAAGTTGTCGTTCATTTTACTTAGAATGCAATTTCAAAGTTGACATGAACGATACTCGAGGGACTAATTTTTTTTTCTCCCGAAAAAGAAAACGAGGGCTTCGAAAATCTATTGAATTGGGGTGCAAGTGTTAAAGCTCCTGCAGTTGGCCATTTAGTTTTTTTTTAATTCAGAGAGAATTATCCTCGGTATATTGCAATGCGCATCGCAGCCTGGCACTGCCTGGAACGAGAGGTTCTATTTCCATCGTAGACATTTTACAGACGACGTGTGTTCGTTGGCGGCGCATCCTTTGGATTCACTCAGTTGTTACATTTAAAAAAGAAGAAAATGATCGAGTACCTTAATGTCCCCTTGCACAGTATTAATGTCTAGACTAGGCAAAAAAAACAAAGTTTAATTAATTTTTTTGAATCTTTACCAAAATAAAGCCTATTTTTTAACTAGAAAAGGTTACGAGCGTTAACGTGCAAAAACACGGTATTTAATTCATTATTATTTTGCAAATATCAAATTATTTCCAATTTCCAAAAATTTTGATAAACATTTTGTATAAGAATTAAATTATTTTTAATAATTCAATATGATTTTAATAAAATTACTTGAAAGAATTTAATAATATAATATAAAAATATAATTAAATTCTTCTCAACAATTCAATTACTTTTATAAATAATAAAATTCTCAGGAAGAATTCAATTTTATTTTAAAAAAATTTTGATGAAATTCTTTGTAAGAAATCAATTATTTACATAAATAGAACAATCTCTCACAAGATTTCAATTATTTTCATAAATAATAAAATTCTTCGGAAAAATTCTATTATTTTCATAATTAATAAAATTCAACGCAAGAATTCAATTATTTTTTTTAATAAGAAAATTCATAGCTAAAAGTCAATTAATATAATTAAATCCTTCTCATGAATTCAATTATTTTTATAAATTTTAATTCTTAGCAACGATACAATTTAGTTTTACAAATGATAAAATTCTTCTCTGGAATTCAATTATTTTAATCAAATTATTCTCATGAATACAATGTTAATCAATATAATTTTACTAACATTTTTCTGAACAATTGAATTAATTTCAAAAAATTTTTTAATTCTGTGGAAAAAATCCAATTATTTTCATACTTAATAAAATTTTTCGAAAGTAATTAATTATTTTTATAAATAAAAAAATTCGTCGCAATAATTCAATTATTTTTAAAAATAAAAATAAAATTCTTGACAAGAATTAAATTTTTGTTAATAATTTTGATAAAATTCTTCAAAGGAATTCAATTATTTTCAAAAATAAAAAAATTCGTCGCAATAATTCAATTATTTTCTGAAATTTTATTAGAATTCTAGGCAACAATTCAATTATTTTTACTAATAGAAATTCTTCGCAAGAATTCAATTACTTTAATAAATAATAAAATTCGTCTGAAGAATTCAATTATTTTCATCAAATTTTTCTCAAGAATTGAATTATTTTTGTATATATATATTAAAATTCTTTCGAGAAATTCAATTATTCTCAAAAATTTTTAGTAATATTCATCGAAAAAACCTAATTTTTTCCAGAAACTATAATTAAATTCTAGGCAAGAATTAAATTATTTCAAATTCGAAATTATAAAAGCTAAAAAGATTGTATTTAATTAATTTTAAAATTCAAAAGATTCAAAAAGAAAAATTATGGAATAATGGAATTGCCTTCTCATAAAGGAATTTCTAATTGAGTGTGTAAAATAACAATAGAAAAATGTTGTTAATGAAAAAATTACTGGAAATATTTAAGCAAATTATTGCGATCCTCATTTTTCGCAATTGTGTGAATGAGGTTTAGCTTTTCATTTCGTGACAGAGAGAGAAAAAAATGCACTACATTGAGATACGAGGTATACAAGACAACATTGACATATCAAGCACGCGATATTGCGTTCCACATATCACTACTTTTTAATCCAAAAAGATTTTCGATAATGCTATATACATCAAATTTTACTTTTTAAAGAACTACTTAAATTGATAATTTTTTTTATTGAGTTTCTGACTCTTTACTAGAACTCTGTAATTCTTAATAAGAATTTTCTTCGAAAATCAAATTCTTATTTAGTTAACAATTTAGCAGAAAGTAATTGATAAAAAAATGATAAAAAATAGTTAAATTAAAATATAATAATTAAACAAAATTAAAACTAGATTATAAGTAACTAACTTTATTTTAAAGTATTTCAAAAGATTTTCAATTAAAATGTAAAACCGAAAATTGTCTAAAATAACTAATTCGTTTTATAAGGTATTAAAATTCAATGAATTATTTTTAAACCGTTAAAAAAAGATTTTCTTCATTAATTTTTATCGTTTACAATAAATCAAAATATAAAAAAAGAAGTATTCTTTTTTAGTCGAGAAATTGAAGTGTGTGACTATAAAAATTTTATTCCCCTTACCTGTCAATGAGCAATACGTTATTTCCGACTTTTTTGTAGCACACTCCCCAAACAGGTATGGCATTATAGGTAATATTTATTGGTGAATACTGAATAGGTTCATTCCTAGTCATCGAACCCTTTGCATTTTTACCGCTCACTTGCATCATAAATTCACCCTGAAGTTCTGCTGGAAAATAACAGCTTGATGACACGTGAGTTTCATAATTTCGAAGTTGATCTGTCGTCGAGAGAGTCGTTTCCGCTGCAAAAAAAATAAAATTCCAAAAAATTAATTAATAACGAAAATAATAAATGCAAAATTAAAATAAAGCTAGATTAAAAGCAAAATTAAATTTCAGTAAAACTAGAATAAAAGTAAAATTAAATTAAAGTAAAACTCAACTAAAACGAAAATAAAATTAAACTGAAACTAAAATAAAACCGAAATAAAACTAAAATTTAAAAAAAAACTAAAAATAGAAAAAAAATTACAAAAAGATAAAGTAAATAAAATGCATAAATTGCAAAAATAAATTCTATTAAAATTTGATTGCTTTTCTAAAAACAAAAGCATCAATCTTAATTAAGAAAAAAAAATTCTACAAAAGTTTTGGTGAATAATTTTCCAAGTTTGAAACATTCTCTTGAGCTAATTAATCATATAATTTGATTAATGGGATTGGTCTCACGATCATGAGTACCTGCTTTAAAGATAATTACCCAAACAAAAAAATTGTCTGGTTTATATATATCAACATCTAAAGGGTTGCGAGTATTTTATAATATAAAAAAAAAGTAGTGAGTATTTTTTTGGCGCCGGAAGTTTCGCGGGTGAGTAAATCCATTAGGGTTAAAGTGCAGGTGTTATGGGGATGTTTGAATTAAAAAAAAAAAAAATTGATACTTTTGTACCCACTCGTAAAAAAGAGCGTCAAATTATATTGCCACCTAATATATATCCACATGGCGCTTCAGCTTATACGCAACGATCCATGAAAGGGTCATTACAGTTTCTTGAAAAATGATACACGTAATGACTCTTTTAAATTGAAACAAAACTAGCACGCAACCTTTGTGAATATAATTATCCAAAGGAAAACAAAAACAAACAAAAATAAAAACTTGCAATAATTTAAAAAAAAAATTCAATTAAACTTTTCCAGAAAAATTAATTCTACAGAATTGTCAGTGAAAAGTATAAAAAATTCAAATTTTCGTAAATTTTAATTTGAAAACTATCCAAAATTCAATTATTTCTAAAAATTAAAACATATAATGCTTTTAATATTCAATTATTATTCTAAAAATTAAAATGAAATTCATTTTTAAATCAATTTTTAATAGAAAATTCTACAAGAATTCAATTATTTAAATAGAAACATGAATAATTTCTTGAACAATTGAATGTTTCTTAAAATTGAAATCTCATTAAGAATTTTATTAACAAATTTTTAAACAATTAAATTCTTTTGACGAATTTTAATAAATTTTTTAAAAATAATTACATTTTTCAAGTAACTCGTTTAAAATTGTATTAAAAATAATTGAAATTCTGCGAAGAGTTTTATTATTCACGAAAATAATTGAATTTCTAAACAGAATTTAATTATTTATGAAAATAATTGAATCCCGGTATAAAATTTTTATAAATTTATGAAAATAATTGAAATATTGGGAAGAAATTTATAAAAAAAATATGTAAATAATTGAATTCATGAGAAAATTTTATTACCATTAAATTAAGAAAATTATGGCAAATAATTAAAATTTTTATTTTTGTTAAAGAAAATGTTATCCTAATTTTTTTAAATTTAATAATTTTTTTCAATTAATCATTTCTAATTTAAAATAATTTAATTCTTGCACAGAAATTTATTAACATTTTGAAAAGAATTGAATTGTTTCTTGTTATTTATGAAAATAATTATAATATTGAAAGTAATTAAATTCTTAAAAACAAATTTTACCAAAAGTTTTTTAAATAATTGAATTTTTTCAACGAATTTTATTATTATTTTTGAGAATAATTAAATTGTTTGAAAAAAATTCAAATTCTTTTGAGAAATTTAGTTAAAATTCTACCTATTGAAAATAATTGATTTCTTTTGATGAATTTTATAATAATTTTAAAAAATAATTGAATTTCTCGAAAGAATTTTAATATATTTACAAAAATAATTCAACTCTTGAAAAGAATTTGATGAAAATAATTGAATTATTGACAGGAATTTTATTATTTATAAAAATAATTGAATTCTTGAGACGATTTTTATTATTAACGTAAGTAATTGAATTTTCGCGAAGAATTTTAATCTTAGTAAAAATAATTAAATTGTTGCCAAGAATTTTAATGAAATTGTAGGAAAAAATTGAATTATTGCGACGAATTTTTTTTATTTTTGAAATTAGTTGAATTCTTTCGAAGAATTTTATTAAAAAATTGAATTCTTGTTAAGAATTTTATTAAAATTTTTGAAAGTAATTGAATTCTTCTGAAGAATTTTAATATATTTACAAAAATAATTCAATTTTCGAAAATAATTGAATTATTGGGAGGATTTCTATTATATTTATGAAAATAATTGAATTCTTGAGACGAATTTTATTATTTACGTAATTAATTCAATTCTCGCATAAAATATTATCAACATTTTTTAAAAGAATTCAATTGTTTTGAAGAATTTTATTAAAAACGTTTAGAAATTATTAAATTCTTTCGTGAAATTCAATTAAAATTGTATTAAAATTAATTTAATTCTTCTAAAGAATTTCATTAAAATTTTTGAAAATAATTGAATTCTTTTAGGGAATTTTATTACAATTTTTTAAAAATAACTAAATTGAAAATAATAGAATTCCTGCGTCAAATTTTATTATTTGTGAAAATAATTGAATTCTTGCAACCAATTTCACTAAATAAATTTTAAATAGGGTAAGTGCGGGTATAGTCGGACAGTACTAGTAGTCGGACACTTTCGTGTTTTTTGGCAAATAAATAATAATGCATTGTGATAATTACTTTAAAAAGTATACTAGACGAATGTGTGAAGTTTATATTTTATTAAAATAGTGTTATTTTCGAAAATAATTAAACAAGAAATATTTTATTTAATGTTTTAAAAATCATGGTGTCCGACTATAGATACAACCATTTTCGAGTAGCGCGATGAGTGGCACAAAGTTTTGTTGATAATTAATCATAAATATTAAAACTTATAGGGTTTAAATATTATATTAATAACTTCTAATTTGCTTTAATTCCATTTTCCAGCAGATAGCAATTAAAAAATTATCTGTTTTACTTTATAAATCCAAAATATCTGACAGATGTCCGACTATAGAAACAAGGGGAAAAAGTGTCCGACTACTAAAGCATTCGTAATTTTTTATTAAAATGTTTATATTTTATTAAATACTCAACTATTTGTAACAAATTTATATGATTTTTAATCCTGAAGAACTCTTTTAATTAATAATGTGCTTATAAACACAGTAGATATTTGCTATTTCAAGAAAAAAAGCATAATTTAAGATTGTATCCTTAAGTGTCCGACTACTAGTGCATTTACCCTAATTGAATTCCTGCGACGAATTTTATTAATTGTGAAAATGATTTCGGATGCTTGCAAAGAATTTTATTACATTTTTTTAAACAATCGAGTTGAATAAAAAAATATAAAATGTGTCAAAACTATAATTTTTTATGTATCATGTTCACTATCATGATACATTTTTATTGTAATCATTTTCTTATTGTAATCATTGATTAAAATATTTTTCAATTATTAAATTTTGTGTTTTATTATATCTTTTTTGAAACGACTTGACCTTGGTTCAAAAGATATAATACACACGAGTGTCTGAGGCTTCGCGTGGCACATAACGATACACCGAGTATGATTAGACGCCAACGTACAATCACGAGGTTTCACTTTTTTTTCTTCTTGTTCTTGTTCTTCTTCATTGCGCCTCCATCTCTTTCTCTGAAACTCGTCCTTTTTGACTTCTCTCATTTCCATAAGCGTCGATCCTTCTTCAGTGTGCTCTTTATCTCCGCTATGAATACTTGCCCAGCCATCCTTCTCGTTCCTCCTCTTTCTCTAAGCACTCTCCGTCTTTCCTCTCGTTCCAGGTACCAGGTGTTCGCATCCGGAGGTCCTTAATTCGCAGGTCTCGGTGAATCCTTAATGAATGGGAGACGATGGAACTTCGATCTCGAATAATGGCCTTTTAAAATTAGAGGTTTTCTCTTTTTCATGCATGATTATTTTTACTATTCCACAGAGAGACATGAGAAGGAATGAGGACAAAAATCATTTTTACAATTTCAAAGTTGGGACTCAGGCTTTTTACGAGTTTTTTTCGTTAAATTAAATTTTTCGATTTATAATTGAAAAATATTTTAATCAATCATTACAATAAAAAAAAAATGCATCATGTTAGTAAACGCAAAACTAGTTTTGCTACTAACATGATACATTTTTTTCCCCAAACCGCAAGAGATGTTTTTTTTTAAAAGAAAAAAATTATCGGTTTTGGTCACCTTTCGGTATAATAAATAAAAATTTAAACACCTTTTTTTTCAATTTTTTTGTTTGGTTCTTTCAAGGGTGATTTACTTATTAACCGTGACATTAAAGTATTTCGCATTATATACACACGCTCATCTTGTTCTCACGGTAAAGGATTTTTTTTTCCTTTTAGTACACTCAATTTTTCGACCGAGGACTCTCAGTGGACTTTGGTAGTAAAGTTTTTTGTTAGCTCTGTGTTACACTAGTCCTTTTGTAATTACAACTGTTTTATCTTTTTTTTTAATACTTTTTTCTCTCCTTCCATTCTTGCGTCGGGATGTATTTTCAAATGAGAAACTCTCGAGGATATAATACTCCAGAAGTTACGAGCCTTACACGCACGGGAAAAACTTGACCGCATTTCCGGTATATCGTCGTGTACATGGGTAATTTTCAAACGTTGTTAATGAAATTGGCTTCGGCAGGTTCAATGGAATTTCTATGAAATTTTCGCATCAATTACGATTTTTACAAAAATTGATTAATTTTCGTTAATTGTTTCATTTCCGTTGTCTATTTTTATACTCTAATCTATCTCTTATATTAGTTTCCTTTTTATTATTTTTACCTAATATTATTAGTTGGATTTTTTTCTCTAATTATTACATATAGAAAAAAATATGTGATGGAAGTAATTGGATAGTTTTTATCTTATAATTCCATTTTATTGCTGTTAGGTATATCTTCTCGAATTTTTAGATTCGAAAAAAAAATCTTTTTTGTCCATATATTTTAGTATGAAATTGGGATAATTATAGATTGAGTGTACTTTATTTGGAATGTTCTGATATGTATAAAAACTCGACTATTATCGAAGGTCGAGTAAATAGTTCCCCAAATTATTGCTATTAACCGAACATCTTTTTCTACCAACAGAAAAAAAGGGACGAGAAAAAAGTGGAATAAAAATTCTTTCACGCTTTAAAGACAATTACCTTTTTTATACAAGCCACGTTTTTTTATATTTATTTTCTATTTTTTTATTATTAAGTATTTTACTAATGGCAACAAATTTATTTCGAAATTTCTAATATTTATTAATAAAAAACAAAAAAAGCTTTTCTTTATTTTAAACGAGAATGATTTAAGATTTAAAAATTTTTAAAAATTAATTTCCTAACTAATTAAAATTATTTATTATTTTCTGAAGAATTAATAAAGTGCTTTGAAATAATTCAATTTTAATAATATTCCTCGAAAGAATTCAATTATTTCAGGATCTTTAGTAAAAATCTTTAAAAAAATTAAAGTATTTCCATAATTAATACAATTTTTCCCAGAAATTCAACTATTTTCATAATAAAGAATAAAATTCTTCGCAAGAATTCAATTATTTCCCAATTCAATTTTAACAACATTTTTCAAAAGAATTGAATTTTTTTAACATATGTTGTAAAATTCTTTTCAAACAATTCAATTATTTTTAACATTTTTATTATTATTTTTTGCAAGAATCCAATTATTTCCTAAAACTTTAATAAATTTCTTACCAACAATTCAATTATTTTCATTAACAATAAAAATCATCACAAGAATTCAATTATTTTATTAAAATTCGTTGCAAGAATTCAATTATTTAAAATACAATTTTAATAAAATTTGTCGGAAAAAATTCACTAATTTTTTTAAGGTTTAATAAATATTCATGGAAATCAGAAAAAAGTGAAGGAGATACTGAATAAAATTTTTCTGAATCGTTTAAATCGAGTTTTTTCCGTCAAATTAAATTTTTCGATACCCATTTTTTTACTACAGGCAAAAAAAAATTTATCTGGGTCAGCGATAAGTTTTTCTAGAATAGCGAAAGTCTTAATTGAAACAACCAAAAATTTGGCTAACCTAGTGAAATTGGTAGCTGTTACTGGTGAATATTTTTTTTAGTTTCAAAAATACTTTTTGCTACTTTTTTAAAATGAATTATCGAGTACAAACCCTGCTGGGTGGTCCTTCATTGATATATTGTTTCAATTTGTCAATAGTTCAATCTGTATATTAATATTGAATTCGCGACTGTTTCAAATATCGAAGAAATTTGAAAGAAAATAATATTTTTTTCCAAAATGAGAAATCAATATTGTTTATGTTAATGGAAATTGTGTTAGTTCTTTTTTTTGGGAGAGACACAAATCAAGAGATGATCGGTTGGTAATTTGATGCAGATTGTATGGTGGATTGTGCGCAGTGATTTAAGTACGGATAGCTACAATGTAAAGTCCTGATAAAAGATCGTGTTTGGAAAGTGGAGCCTGTTTAACTTCCAGAGAGGTCTTTAGAATTTAAATCTTTAAGAAATATATATCGACTTGGAAATCTTGCAACAACATCGACTGGTGGAGAGCGACGCAACGAGCGAGCCAAGGAGACGAATATCAGCGAATACGGTCGGGAAGAGACAACTTCAAAGCCGTGCGAAAGGTGTGGCGCGCGGTATGAGATCCCCCAAGCATGGGTTCCCCATGTGCTCTGTTCTCAGGAACCTGAGACCCCCGAGTTCAGCTACATAATGCTTCACTCGAGCATTACACTCTCTTCCTTTCTCCTTGTCCACCTTTTGGACGCGCCCTTCTTCTTCTTCTTCTTCTTCTTCTTTCTTCTTCTTCACTACTCCTCACGATTATTTATTCAAAACAAAAAAAGAATAAAAACAGTTTCAACTTTGGAAAATTATTCACACATTTTACAATTTTTCACTGTGAATTGAAATTCATTAATTATTATTATTTATGATCGTTTGTGAACGTTCAAATGAAATAAATATTCTTTATTGAAAATATTTTCACGAAAACAAAAAATAAAATTAGAAAAAAATTATAAACTTAAATTTTACATTTAGAAACACTAATTGATTTTGATTTTATTCTGACACAAAAATTATTGTAATAAAAATTTAATTTGAAGAAGAAATAACAGAGTTGCCACAAAAATGTCATTCTCTTTTTTCCTGAGTTTTGCTTGAACTCAACAAAATTTACATAAATTCCTCCCAGAAATTCAATTATTTTAAGAACTTTAATAAAATTCTAAGCAAGAATTCAATTATTATAGAAACTTATTATTACAAATTTTCAAAAGAATTCAATTATTTTTATAAACAACAAAATTCTTCTAAGAAATTTATTTATTTTCGATATAATTTTAATAAAATTCTTCGAAAAAATTCAATTACTTTAACTATTATTTTCATTAAAAATAAATAAATTCAATTATTTTCACAAAAAATAAAATTTCTCACAGACATTCAATTATTTAACAAACTTTGACTGAAATTCCTTGCAAGAATTCAGTTATTTTAAAAATAATTAAATTCATAGCAGGATTTCAATTATTTTTAATAAAATTTTAATAAAATTTCTCACCAAAATTCGATAACTTTTAAAAATTTTAATCAAATTCGTCGCAAGAATTTAATTATCTTTAAAAATTATAAGATGCTTCTATAAAATTCAATTATATTCGAAAATTTAAATCTTTGCAAGCATTCAATTAGTTTCACGCAAATAATAAAATTTTTCGCAAGAATTCAATTATTTTCGTATAAATAATAAAATTCTTCGTAGGATTTCAATTATTATTTCTACGATTTCAAATAAATTCTTCGAAAAATGTAATTATTCTTAAAAATTTTATTAAAATTCTTCAAAAGAATTCAATTATTTTTAAAAATAACAAAATTCTTCGCAGAAATTTATAATTAATTTCAATACAATTTTAATAAAATTCTTTAAAAAATTCAGTTACTTTAAACACAATTTTAATAAAAGTTGGCAAAAGAATTTAATTGTATCAGAAACTTTAATAAAATTAATCGCAAAAAATCAAGTATTTTTACGATTAATAAAATTCGTCGTAGGAATTTAAATATTTTTAATGTAGAATTTTAGAAAATTTCAATTTTTTTACAAATTTTCAATTACTTGCCTAAAAAATTTCAATTGTCCTCAATTCAATTATGAAAAATAGAATTAAAATCTTTTAAAAACCAACTTTTTAAATAAAATGTTTCGAAAATGAATTTTGCAACGAATTTATTAATAATCAAAATAATTGAATTATTGCTAATAGACTTATTAAATTTTAGAAAACAATTGAATTCCCGCAAAGAATTTTAATAAAATTTTTAAAAATAATTGAATTATGGAAAATAATTTGATCAACATTTTTTTTTTAAATTCAATTCTTTCGAGAAATTTTATTAAAAGTGTATTAAAAGAATTGAATTTTTGTTAAGAATTTTATATTAAAAATAATTGAATTCTTGCGCTAAATTTAATTATTAATTAAAATAACTGAATTAAATTTTATTATAATTCTATTGATAATAATTGAATTCCGGCAAAGAATTTTATTATTTATGAAAATAATTAAATTTTTGAGTTTATCTTTAAATAATTGAATTAAAATTTCTCGGAAATCTAATTTTTTTTAGAATTTTAAATAAAATTATTTGAAACTTAAATAGTTTTTTAAAATTATTTCTGAAAATTGCAGATGTTTTTAACTGAAATTTGTTTATTTTCTAGTTCTTTTGATAAAATTCCTGGGCAAATTTTATTTCCCCTGAATTTCCTGATTTGTGGCAACCCTGAAATAAATAAATCTTGTTCACTTGAGCGTTCAGAAATTTAAAATCATAGTTATTTCAATTACATACCAGATACTTCGAACGATTTGGACCAGTTCATTGGAAGGTGAGCAATATCTGAAACAAAAGGGAACAATTAGTTTCAATAAATAAATATTAATAAATTAAAATACAAATAAATTAAATTAATAAATGAAATTAATAAATTAAAATATTAATAGATTAAAATACTAATAAATTACAGTATTAACAAATTAAAATTATAATACTAATAAATTTTACTTTGCAATAACATTTTTCTGAAGATCATCAAGATATTAATTAAAAAAAATTGTCATGCGAGACTCTATCTCTTTTGCTGAGCATCGCGGGTACCACAAGAATTTAATGCAACTCTCTTTTCTCATGTGTGAGATCTCAACTCGAGAATTCGTACCATTACACACAGAGAGACAGAGAGAGAAAGAAAGAAAGAGAGAGAGAGGCAAGAAAGATGTACCTGAATAATACGCTTGTCCACTTAATGGAGCAGGCCTCTTGACATGTAACGATCTACAGACAGGGACATAAACTCACTTGATACACATTAATATTTAATAAATATTAATTCCACCATGAATATTTATACCCCCATACACACACACATATATTTATCAGCCACTTAAAACCTGAGCCATAATTAACGAATCGAACACATAAATTTTTCTCCAAATGAAATACTCCTCGTTATTTACAATGTTACCGATTACATCCATAAAATTTTTTCCTTTTATTCGCTAATCCAAATTAATAAAACTATTTAAAAAAAAAACAGAAACAAAATTGAAAAAATTTTGTTTACTTTGTAAAAAAAGAGACTGTTTTATTTTTAAAAAAAGGAGATATTTAAATACATGAATATATCGAACTATTAAAATGTTTTTTTCACCCAATGAATGTTTTCTGATTATAGTTTGACAGAAGCCGAGTCGAGAATTTCGAAGAGAGAGGCGTTCAGCCCACGATGTTAACAAGCTCGCTCGAGCGATAATAAGCATATACTTGCAAATCTGAATACGACTGTAAATTATCAGCAATTTATTGTGCCATCGATATTAACGAGAGGAAGAATTCTGTCCCTAGAAAAATGCATCTCGCATTTGAATGTCCATATCCATGTGTATATGTATTATATCCCACATGCGATAGCACCCAGTCGCACATAAAATAAGACATTTATATAACTGACCTATAAAAACATTTAGTAATATCTTGCGCTTTTAAAACGAATCAACAATATTAGCAACATTTAGAAAATTTTTATTAAAATTAAAATAATAAATTTATATAAATAACCCTAATCTTGATATCTGCTCACCGTTTTTAAATTAATTTTATGTTTGCTTTATTGTTTTCCAATTTTTTGGGTAATTTTTCGTATTTAATGTTTTGAATTTCGAAATTTATAAATGTTATTTATTTTACAAGAAAAACTGAATTTTATTTATTTTAATAACTTGTTCAGTGTGGGAAAATAAAAAATTAATTTTTAAAAGTTTTATATCGATTTTGCATTAATTAATTCAAATTTAGGAAAATAAGTTTTGTGATACTATTTTTACAAGAATAATAATTGAATTCATTCGAGAAATTTTCATAAAATTGTACCTATTGAAAATAATTAAATTCCTGCGAAGAATTTTATTATTTATGAAAATAATTGAATTCTTGCGAAGAATTTTCTTAAAGTTAAAAAAATAATTGAAATCTAGCGAAAAACTTTATGATTATTGAAAATGATTGGAGAAAATTTTTGTTAAAATAATTGAATTCTACAGAAGAATTTTACTATTAATAATGAAAGTAATTAATTTTTAAAATAAAAGATTTATTAAAATTGTACTTAAAATAATTGAATTCTTTCATCAAATTTTATTAAAATTGTATCGGAAGTAATTGAATTCTTATAAAGAATTGTACCAACAATTTTGAAAATAATTGAATTCTTTCGAAGAATTTTATTTAAATTCTATTGAAAATAATTAAATTTCTATGAAGAATTTTATTATTTATGAAAATAATTGAATTTTTGTAAAAAATTTTACTAAAGTTCCTAAAATAATTGAAATATTTCGACAAATTTTATTAAAATTGTTTTTAAAATAATCTAATTTCTATAAAAAAATATTTATGAAAATAATTGAATTCTTGCTAAATTTTTTTTTTTTGAATTTTAGAAAAGAATTGAATTTTAGTGACGGACTTTATTAAAATTATGTTTAAAATGATTGAATTCCAGGGAAGAATATTTAGTATTTATTATGAAAATAATTGAATTCTTGCGACGAATTTTATTATTAATGCAAATAATTGAATTGTTTCTAAGAAACTTATTAAATTTTATAGAAAATTACTGAATTCTTCAAAAGAATTTTAATAGAATAACTGAAAATAATTGAATTCTGGAAAAAAATGTTATCAACAGTTTTGGAAATAATTAAATTCTTTCGAGAAATTTTATTAAAATTGTATTATATAAATAATTGAATTCCCGCTAGGAAATTTATTAAAATAATTCAATTTTTGCGACGAATTTAATTATTAATGAAAATAACTGAATTCTTTCAATAATTTTAATATAATTTTTGAAAATTATTCAATTTTTTAAAAATATTTTATTAGAATTCTATTGAAAGTAATTGAATTTTTGAGAAGAATTTCTGTTTAAATAATTTAATTTTTGCTATGAATTTTTTTTATTAATGAAAATCATTGAATTCTTGCAAACAATTTTAATAAAAATTTTGAAAATAATTTAATTCTTTCGAATATTTTAATTAAAATTTTTAAAAACTATTTAATACTTTTGAGGAATCTAATTAAAATTGAATTGAAAATAATTGAATTCCTGCGAAGAATTTTATTATTTATGAAAATAATTGAATTCTTGTGGAGAATTTTAATAACATTTTTGAAAATAATTAGTTAATTAGTTCGTAAGTGAATTTTAAAAATTTTAAATCAGAAATAATTAAAAAATTTTGTAATTTGTAAACAAAATAATAATAAATGGAATAAATGCGTTTCGCGCATAAATTTTGTCAGCGCTAAATAAACATTCAGAAAATGTTTAATAAATCAAATTACGAAATACTAAATAAACACTAGATAAATCTCTTAGTGTATTCAACTATGAAGAAGAAGAAAAAGAAGAAAGAAAAAAATCCACCTGGTGGAAATTAAAATTTAACGAAGCAATTTGGTACAGTTATGGTTGGGAATAGAACAAAAGATGAATTTTTGCTGCTTTAGAATGACTTTCCCATGACTCAATAAATGCAACGCAAGGTGGAAACGTCTGTTTTGAACGAAATATCTATACACAGCCCAAGAGTCATGACTTTTAAAGTCGATGATAAGATGAACATCTAAGGTGTGCCCTGCAGAAAGGAAGCGCGCTATTAGACCTTCTTGATGCAGCGATCTCCTTCGTTTAATTATCCACGTTTTTCATTCCACTACCCCTTTCGCTTTTTCCTTCGCCAATCGTCTTCTAAATGTATATCTATATAACTTATTTATAATCTTCCTTCTGTATTAACTCCAATAAAGTTTCCCTTTTCAACAAAGAAAATTCTTTCTTTCATATAATTTTAAAACTCAGCTAATTTTTCCTTTTTTCCAACTCTTCATCTTCATTTTCATTTTCTCTCCTCTCTAGAAAATAATAATTGAAACATTATTCTTAAAATAGAATATACTCATCATTTTGTTAACTATAATTAAAATTAGTAATTAAACTACAAAATTTAATTAAATTCAAATAGACAAAAAAAATATGCACACAATTATTGCATTCATATTTATTTTTGTAATACCTTAAATTATTTAAGTAAAATAAGAAATGAATTTATCGACTTGTGAAAAAATGGAATTCTTTTTTTTTGCCTAAACAATTTTTCTATAGAAAAATGTGAAGGACGTTAAAGTCAAAAGTTCAAGAAAATAGCCTAGATTTGCCAGTCAGATCGTTTAATGCTCGTCAATAAACTCGCCTTCAACAGGAATTCCTTTAGCGAAGCGAGAGAGAAGCCTTCTCACGTGAAAATTGAATGTTCTCGTTTGCTTGATGTAATACTTACACCTGAGCAAGTGACTGTTATTAGTAATATATACGACTATTGCTAAACGATAAGGGGAAAGTTTATCTGCGCAAAAACTTTCCTCTCATTTCAAGTATATAGTGACAAAAAAGCGAAACCAAAAAAAAATAATGCACACAATGAAAAATATGGCTTACGCAAACATAATAATTACTTTTCAATAATAACAACAACAAAATAGTACTCGATTTTTTGAATTTATAATTTATTTTTAATTACTATTATTACTGCGTAGGTAATAATTATTTATTGAAACTTCAGACTGAATTATTCATATTAGTATTATTCAATATAACATATAGAGTTGCCACAAGTCAGAAAAATCAGAGAAAAGGGAGAAAAGTCAGGAAAAATATAAAATTAAAGAAATCACGGAAATGTTGGGAAATTTTATCAAAATTAGTGAAAGAAAAATAAAATTTGTAGAATTAGAATTAATTATTTCTAGAATTATTAAAAATCTGGTTTTGCGTGTCTAAAAATATTTTAGAAATAGGTACTTAAAAACATTGAATTCTTCTTGAAATTTTCAATTTTAAAAAATTTCAATCATGATGAATTTTAAAACAATAGATTAATTTTTTTATATTTCTGTAAATAATTTTTAATTAATTAATTAATTTTAAAAAATTATTTAAGCTTCAAATAATTTTATTTAAAATTCTGAAAAATTAGACTTCTAAAAGAAATTTAAAATTCAAATTATTTAAAATTATTTGAAATTTCTTAAAATTCTAAAAAAAATAATTGAATTGTTTTAAATAATTAAATTGTTCCGAAAAACTCTGTTTACATTTTTTAAATAATTAAATTTCTGCGAAGAATTTTGTCGTTTATAAAAAAAATTGAATTATTTTGAAGAATTTTATTATTTATCAAAACAATTGAATTGTTAGGAAGAATTTTATTATTTATCAAAATAATTGAATTGCTAGAAAGAATTTTATTAATATTCCTAAAATAATTTAATTTTTG